GCCCGCATGAGGTCAGGAGGATTTGCAGCCAGGGACGGGAACCACTTTGGGATGTTTGCGGATAGGTAAGAGAGAGCGTTGTTTCCTTCTTCGCCTTCATTGATGTTGATGATTCGTATATTATCTCTCCTGCTTCTGTCCTCGAGATCTGTCACTTTTTTCTCCATCTGTGTGAGCGTGTTGGTGAGACTGAGGATAGTGTCCTCATTGCTCAGGACGCGTGTCTTTATAGAAGCCACTTCAGTGCGCTGAGATTCAATATCCGCAGCATGCTTGGATAAAGTTTCTTGAATTGCGCCAAGTTGATCCTCCAATCGCTCAAATCGCTTTTGAGATCGATTCTCCGCCTCATTGAAAAACTTCCTGAGTAAGTCCTCAAGATAGGCCTCAGTGACAGGTGTTTGATACGAGGCCGATTCCGATTGCATTGTTGACTTTCTCATTGAACTTTTGGGACGAGTGTTCACAAATGAGAAAGGTATTGTTCAAAAGGTAAAAAAAAATGTTGCAGAAATTCAAGTCGCTAAGAGTTTTAAAGCAAGCACAGGGGAGCTTCAGTTTTGGACGCGCTCTACTCCGCCATGTCACACGTCACCGTCACGAGTAGCCCCGACTTAGCCCCGACTTAGCCCCGACTTAGTCCCGCTTAGAGGTTGGCTCACTTTTTAGGCTTTGCACATATTCAGGTCGACATACCTCGATATGTGCATGCATGGCTCTAACGTCCTCAGTCAGAGGGAGCAGGTCCGGAGTGTTCCACTTGGCTTGCCGGAGGGTCTGTAGGGCAGCAGAAGAAACACAGACGTCCCACTTCTTCTCAAAAAGCAGCCGGCTTCGTTGGAGGTTTTTAATATAGTTCATCAACGCAATGCTCAATTTTTGAGTCACATTCAAGAATATCTGCTAGCTTTCTGAGGCTATGGCAGAGTTTGAGGGCCATAGCCATTGCTATTTTTGCTTCGTTGATTAACCTACCGACTTCTCTCATTTTCTGCGTAATGTAATCATGCTTAGTCTTATCATGCCCATGTTTTAAGTAAAGGTGCTCTCTGAGTCTCAGAATCCCCTTTTCTGCTTTGACAACACCCGTGACCTCATTCTAATGCATTGCCAAAATTAAAGACCACAGCTTTTTGCTGATGCCCTCCGGTACAGGCTGGACCCTACTTCTACCTGGTTTTGCCTGGGCATCTTTCTGTGAAAGCCAGCACCTGGCCACATGCCTCCACAGCGACTTTCGCTTAAGCAATGCCCCACAGTCTGTACAGTGCAAAAACTCACTGGATTTAACTGGGGAATTTGGCTGTTTAGCTGGGACTAAAGTTCCAATGCTGGCCTTTAAAACCTCAAAATTGTGCTCATGGTTTCCACTATTCCTGATCAAATCAAACTGAAGTTTACGTGCTTTAGATTTCACAAGTAGAGCCAATGCTCTGGCTACGTCACTTTCATTTCCATGTTTTCTAGACAAATGACGGGACATTTTGTGGCAGGACATTGAACAGTAGAGGCAGAAGTGTCTCTTGCTATAAACTCGCCCCCCATTTTTCTTCTTTTGCAGCTGCATGATAACAATCTTATTTGCCTTTGGCTCGTCACTTACAGAGTCTTGAAGAAAAGTATTTTTTATTTTTATTTTTCCATACTTTTTTACAGGTTTCTTCTTGACAGTTAAATTGTCAGAATCTGAGTCGACTTCATCAATTGGGGACTCTTGACTAAGCTGCACAAACAACAAATAATTTGTAATAATTCTATCTAACAATTTTAAGTCATAACTTGTAGTCAGCAAGTTATGGGCCCCACCACGTAAAACCAGTCCCCATGACGTGAGTGGAATCTCAGGTTATGGACCCCACCAGGAGTTGAAAACAAGTGCACACACCCCCAAACACACACACACCCCCCCACACACACACACCCACACACACACACACCCACACACACACCCACACACACACACACCCCCAAACACACACACCCACCCACACACACACGCACCCCCACACACCCCCAAACCCACACACGCACACACACATGAAAAAAGACAGTTGGAAACAGTACAGTTAGGTTTAGACCATTTTAAGACCAAATCATTCAAATGTGAATGTGTCTATTTCACTAAAGTTTGAGAGGCAAAATATTCAAAAACCTTTCTGACTTCAGTTCCGGACTGAAGAGACTTCCAGGAGGAGGGGGTGCAGTCCATGAGTCTGGGCTGGGGTAAGACACTCCACAGGTGCAGATGAAGGAGTCCAGACTCAGGGGTCTCATCCTCGTCACTGCATGAAAAGTGTGATTTTCGTCTCTTTTCGGCCCTGTATATTACTGTGAAACTTCTGGGATTCGGCTGTTGACGGTAGTTTGTTGTCCCCTCCTCCCTCCTCCACAGGAGGCTTTAACATGTAAATAGGAATGCTGTGAGCTATACAAATGCTAATCAGGGTTGAGGGGGAGCACAACTTTGCTCCATGCTGCACAACTACACTTTCAGTCAGTCTGCAGCATGGATCAGGTCAGCACACTGTAGACTTTGATTTAGACTTAGATTTTGTAAATGCTCAAACTGTTTACACACACACACACACACACACACACACACACACACACACACACACACACACACACACACACACACACACACACACACACGCACACACACGCACACACACATCAGATAAATATTTGATCATGATTGATTATAGCTTGTCATGTCAAAATCAATTAAATAAATCCAATAGGACAGAAGACATGTTGAAAGTGTAAGTGCTCATCAAAGGATATATGTATGTACAGTACAGACCAAAAGTTTGGATTTTTAATTTTTTTTCATGACTATGAACATTGTAGATTCACACTGAAGGCATCAAAACTGAATTATGTACATACCTAAAAGAAAAGGTAATCAACTGAACAAACAAACGGCTGTTGGTGTTATCATCACTCTCTTTACACAACCAAAACTTGGGGACTTCACAAACTGAATGCGCATGCGCAAAACGCAAGGAAATACTTTGCCTGAAGTTGACGGTGGAGTCTCGTGGAACGTGAAGAGAGGACTTTTTTGAATGTACGGTAAGTGTTAAGACACGTTGTTCATTTTTATAAAGGTATAAAGCTAAAGAAGTGTGTTAAGAACGTGTACACATTCGACTATATTATCTTATAAAACTCGTGTGTTCGACCAGCTCAGCGGTGAATGCAGTGACTGGCCGTGTTCAGAGCCGCTCAGAGTTTACTGAGGACAGCGGTGAATGTAGCTGTTAGTAGTAACAGTAACTGTAGCCGTGTTCAGAGCCATATTCCCGGCCCTAACTACGCGGGCCGCCGCCGCAAGGAAGCTCCGCTGTGATTGCTCCGTGTATGATAACTTTCTGTGAAGCATGGAGCTGCAGGAGCATGGACGAGGCGCTCAGAGCAGACTGCTTCGAAAGAACCGAAGGAAAAGCAGTTTGGGCTCATGGCAAAGCCTGATAGACTGTGGACTGGAGTTCTGTGGAATATCTAACATTTGTTTTGCACTCTTCCTGTCTTTGTTTGAGCGCTAAGACTTTCACTTTTATTATTGTACTTTTTCATCTCATTTGTCACTTTTGTCTTTCTGTTCATGTTTTTGTTTTGTTTATTAAGTCCATTGCTTAATAATGTTATTGAGTGAATCTAGATCTCCTTTAAACACATTTGAGCAAAAATCATGTGATATTGTTTTATATATATTGATTATTCTTTTTTTGCTTACAGCTTGTTGCAGTCCGACACCAAGAATTTGTCAATTCTGCTCTACCTGTGGAAAATGTCAAAGCGCGCTGGCCAGCACTTTATACAGAGAGAAAGGTGTGTACACATTTTTTACAACTATGCATTTAACCTGAAGTGTTTTATGGTTTTTTTTGCAGGTCCTGGCAGAATTTAACCAGATCACCAGCTCCAAACTGGGCAATGATTTCGTTGAAGCATTGGATTGCCTAACGACACAGTTCATCAAGCTCTTTAAGGCCAAAAGGTGGACTGCTGGCGCTAAGCTTTCCAAGATTGTCCGGCACCTCGATTCCTGTGTAAGTTCATAAAGCAATAACAAAAAGAAATGACATATGATTGTGTTTGGTATTGTAATGCACATATGTACAGCAGAGGAGATGGGGAAAAGGAGAAAGGTAAGTACATCCCCCTCCATTTGTCTTGTCTGTCAGTACAGTGTTTTACTCCTATGTACAATTATGAAAAAGACACAACAAGCAGTGACACTTGTAGGTGATAACTTACTCAGTACTGCTTTAACAACCTTAACCTCCACCTGAAAAAGCAATTCAAATAATACAGGAAAAAAAACAGTACAAAAAAGAAAGTGACAAAAATGAAAGTAAAACTTGAAGCTGTTATATCTGCTGTAACCTTTTGGCTAAAGCTAAACTGGGGAAATACACTTTGTTAAGCCGTGTTTATTCTGTCCAGTGTGAATGACACGTAATATATTAAAGGACCGTGACGTCGCCCGGTCACAACACACTTGAAGGTAACTCTACATTTCTCAATATAATGAGTTAACTAGAGTTTGGGAATAAAGTGGCACTAACTGTGTGGGGGGAAAAAAAACCTTAAGTCCACTCTCAGTCCAAAAAGTCAAACAAGGACTCACAGGGCTCTAAAGTCTGAAAAACAATAATAAAAAATGGCCTGTTGCGTGTTTTATTTGTTCACAACATTTTACTTTTGTGTACAAATAACATGCATTGTTAATGCATGGAGGAAAAATTTGGGTATCTGAGCTTTAAATTCAGGAGTTTTACTTCAGGAGGAGACACGGGAGAGACATTTATTTCACATTCAAAATCATGAAATGACAAAGTATTATAAGTAATGCATCATATTTAGATGTTTTATTTTTTTAACAGATCTTTCTCAAATGGAAATGGACACCATCACTTTCAATTGACCTCAACCCATAGTCTCCTCCTAAAGGAGAATCCTCTGTGGCAGTCACAAGGAGATCCAATCAGGACATGTGTGAGAAGGACACAGCTAAAGAGGTCCTGCTGCATTTTGTATCATAAGATTTTTGGTACAATTGTAGATTGTCATTTTACATTTTTCACGTGTTTGTAGATGGTGGAACTGCAGGAAAACCCTGGTGACCGAGAGATCCTTAAAGATTATAATTCTGTGAGATCACTAAGTCACCGCTCTCGAAGACAACTTGTCGACCTTCTCGTCAGTGACATGAGTGAAACACATGGGTATGTTGTATCCCTCAATTAATACTCAAAAGTTCCTTCTTACAAGTGGAAGGATATTTACTCAAAATAAAATGAAAATCACTTGAAAGACCTTTCACAATAATCACGTAACAATTCAGTTTCTCTCAGCACTGTTATTGATTCCCCATTGTAATAAATAGTACTTATCTCTTTTATAAATGACCTAGGTAGATGTTCTGTAGATTATCTCTTGGTTTGGTCCCCGTGAAAATATGTACTTGTAGATACTATTAATTTAGCCTTTTTATGTAACCATGAAGTCCCTTGACCATGACTGTTTTTCTTTCCTTAGACAAATGCCTTCCCGAAAACAAAAAGAAAGCTATGCTCTTAGAATTATCACACTTTTTTCTTCATTGAAGGATCCATTTTCTCAAAAAGGTTATGTAAGTATTGTTAATGTATCCATGGAAATTGAATTTGGTTTACCTACACGTTTTGTGTAGATAATGGATATGTATAGATACCAATCATAACTGTACACTTTGTTTTCAGACTAATCTCGCCTCGTAATGAGACGGTGACCTCCTATTTGCTTAACACAATATCTGCAATACAATGTGAACAATAAGTCCACATTTCCACCATGTTGATAAAGACGACATTGTGTGTAAGTGTTTTACTGTTTCTCCTTCCTTGTTTGACGTTACTGTGACTTGCGTTTGATTTTTATTCATATCACTCTTTTGATTGTTTTCTAGCGGCCTGTAAGACTTATTATGAGACGGTTCGCAGGAGCCATCAAAATGCCAAGCCAGAAAACTCATTGAGGGCGGATGTGGCGAAGAGTTCAGCTCAGAGTCGAGCGAGAAGAAAGAGGGTAAGACTAAACTGCATCGCACAGTAAGGCAAGGGAGGTTTATTTGTGTAGCACAATTCATACACAAGGAAACTCAAAGTGCTGAACAAAAGAAAGCATTAATATAAATAATCACAGTACATTAACAAAGATAAATATAAAATCCCTCAGTTGTAGCACAGCTAAAGTGAGACAGGCCTCCTCTCTGACAATGTTTAAAACCAGGTTAAAAACAGTTCTGTTTAGCTGTGCTACAACTGAGGGATTTTATATTTATCTTTTTTAATGTACTGTGATTATTTATTTTAATGCTTTCTTATTTTGCTCAGCACTTCGAGTTGCCTTGTGTATGAATTGTGCTAGACAAATACACTTGCCTTGCCATTGTACTTCCTGGTTCTGGTCAGGACTTGAGCTGCTGCATTTTGAATGTACTGCAGCTGTTGTTACAGTAGTCTAACCTACTGGAGACAAATGCATGGATAAGAATCTCCAGGTCTGCTTAAGGCACTATGTTTTTGATCCTGGCAATGTTTAGATGGGAAAAAAGATTTGATGTGGCTAATAATATTTACTGATTCTTTCAGCTGGTGGAATCAAGACTGAGTGTGCTAGAAAGTGACAAAGTGGAACTCTGAAAGTGTGCCACGGTAGACCTAATGTCCAATGAAGAAGGCATTGTGGACGGTGTCTCTGGGTGGATTGTGCGGTCGCCGTCTTTTCGAAAGCCGGAGTTTTCTGAACTCTGTGTCAAGCTGCAGTCCCGGTTAGACTGCAGTACAGAGCCACGCACATTAAGCGTCTATCTAGAACGCTGCCAAATTACAACCCCGAGGAGGCTATTGGACAGTTCAGAGTTGTAATTTTTTAATTACCTATGTGTGAGCATAAAGCTGTGTGTGTGTGTGTTTTAATAAAGCTTTCTTTGTATGAACATATTTCTGGAAAATTTTCATTTCCTCTATAAATAATATGAATAAATATATATTTATATGAATATTATTTCATTAATTATGAGGCAGGGTGACCAATAGTGACAGATCTGCTAGCCAATCCCGAGAGATTATACTTATTTGAAAGTAGTGATTTCATCCAATGGGGAGTAATCCCACGTGGGCTGGCCACGTGTGATTTTTCAGCCAATCACGAGTTTGAAAGTAGTGGTATCCACCAATGCTGAATAGCAGCCTGGCCAGCCGCTGCATTCATATGCAAAGTAGGGACATTAGCATGGTACGGATGCGGCAGTTTGGAGGACAGGGCACCCTAACTACGTCTTTTGAAAACTGCCTGAGATACCCGAAAAAGAGCGTGATTTCCTGCCGTTTAGGGTGACGAAAATATAACTTTTCATGCAGTGCGTGCCATGGAGCAGACAGTGGGACAGTGTGAACTTACATTTAAGGATTTCCTTTTTTTTCACCCTGTCAAAGCTAAAAAAGTGGAAGAAGTCAAAATGCAAAAACTAGTGATAGAGCTAACTGTTTTGAGGAACTAGATATTTAAATTCTGTGTGGTTTAAAGGTCAGGTACCCGAGCTAGAATTCTGGCTTAATATATACATGTATTTACAAAATGTTGTAAATGTTTTGTTTTGCTGGTATTTGCTCAGGCCGCCTTTACTCATTGTTTTGACCCTTATTGCTTTAATCCCTCACTGTCATCACGTCTGTCTGACCCTTTCTCTCCAGCAGGGCGGGGCTAAGGAGCAGGGCTGTGGGCAGATCTATGTGAAACCAGGGAGCCAGACCCACTCCAGAGACCACATCAGACCTGGACCAGACCCCAGAGCCCAGACTGAGCCAGGACTGGACCCTAGAGACCAGAAGCCAAAAGATACACAGGAGGAAGACAGCCAGCAGGTGAAGATTCATTATTTTATATCATTTATATTTCAGGAGCAGGATGCAGGTTTTGTTCTTGCTGCTTTAAAAGTTACAACTATTACAAATGTTCAGTGTATTTATCAACTTCCTTTATTGGGAGTTTGACTTTTCATATGATGTGTCAAGTATTGTATTTTTGTTCATGTTTGCCCTTAAACAAACAATAGAATGATTACTTTGGTATTTCAATTTTGAAATACAATAGAATTATTTTTGCATTCAAATGTTTAAAATAATTTAACTTTTATAACAGGGGCTGGTGCTCTGTGAACTGGGTGAAGCTCTGACTCCCACCCCCCCGACGCAGAAATGGATTAAGGGGAAGAAAATGGATGGATGGATAGAACTTTTATAAAAGAGTTGCAGCTGTTTTAAGTCTTCCGAGAGTGAATACATTTGTGATTTTGTGCTATACAAAAATACGTTGAAATATCTTCTAGGTTGTTTCGTCCAACAACAAAAATAACAATAAAACAAGATTTTCAAATCCACAGATGATTGACGAGTTGGAGGCTAAATTTTGCCTCACAATGTGTAGAAAATCCACAGAAGTCCAACTCTAGAGCAGGGGTCCCCAACCTTTTTCCTATAGAGAGCTACTTCATCTGGACAAAAGAGTCCTGGAGATGTGGTTTTGTCTCGATGAACACATCTGACCCTTTTAGATGCCAATAAACAACTAGTCATGTTTTAAAGCACAAAATGAAACATGCATTTATGATTTCTGAAAATGTGTGAATCATAAACTGTCACATCCATCACATTATTTGTCATTTCTGGGGAACTACTGGGAATGGAATCAGCGGCTCCTGATGGCTCTGGACTTATAGGTTGAAGACCCCTGCTCTAGATTTAAAGGACAAATGTGACTCTGTGAGTAAGAGAGGACGAGAAAGACACCGCCATCTAGTGTTTGAAAATAAATGTTGCGTTCTACTTTGATCCATAAATATAAGGCGTAATCTAATTAAAGGGTCTAAGGACAGTGATGATCCGTGACATTTATGAACCTTTTTAGACATTGGTCTTCCGTCCCCTATGGACAAATAACTTGTTGTTGAGGAATTGACAACTTTGTACAGACTCCTGAGAGGACCACTGTTGTGATTTAGAGCTGAGCGATTGTCTTATAAAGAAGGTATTCTGTGTCTCCTGCTATAGTTTAGGAAGCTCCATCTTGTCTTCTTTGTAGATTAAGTAATTGGGTTCTTTTGGACTCCGGTAAAATAGTCTTGTTACCTTGTTTGATAGAAAACTTCCTTCCATCTTACACTTGTCTTGTAGAGAAGAACCATAAACCTGGTTTTCTGCTAGAGCCGGCTGCTCAGTGTTTAGACTGACACAAATGACTGTACTTTTACAAGATATTTGTTTATACTTCAATCCCCCCCCCAAAAAAACATTGTAATTATGGCGGGCTTTGAATTGGGAGGTCCAGGGATTATTTTGGTATTCTATCCCACCAAAAGCAAACCCTAACATAATCCACATAAACCCCAAGTTGTAAGCACATTGTTCCAAAACCTTAACTGGATTTTAATTCTAGAAAATTCAAAAAAATAGAAATAGCGACATAATGTGAATAATTCCCCTAAACCCAGGACAAAATATTACAATTTTGAGTTGATTTCAATTTGCCAATTGATTCAATAAAATCAATTAGACTAGAGCCGTACAAACAGCCACTTACAGTATGATGTTATGTAATATTGTGTCATAAAGTTCCAATTATTTGTATATGATATCCTTACAACACAATTATGTTGTAAACCGCTGAGTAGTTTGTGATACTGTTATGTAAATCATGACGGAAAACGTGATCATCTGCGAGTGGCGATAAAGGCGTTAGAAGTCTGCTCCTGTCGACCTGGTTTAAATGACCCTTTTTTTTTTTTACAGCGGTCAGAAGTTATCAGCAGAGACCATAAATCTGCAGTCATATGGGTGAGAAACAGGTCTAAACCGGGTCTAACCTGGGACAAAAAAAGAAAAATAAACAAGGATGAAACCAGTAATAAAGTACTAAACTAGAGTAATAAACTAAACCAGGTGAGAACAAGGGCCAAAAACAAATACTTTGATATATATTGGACTATTATTATCTATTATTCAAAAGGAAAAAATAAAAAAGACGATGCTATGGTTGAGTGGTGAGCAATAAAGTGCTGGGTTCGAATCCTGGCTTTTTCTGAGTGGAGTTTGCATGTTCTTTCTGTGTCTGTCTAGGTTCCTCCAGGGTGCTCCATGTTCCTGGGTTCGAATCCCGGTCGGACCAGGGCCTTTCTGAGTGGAGTTTGCATGTTCTCCCCGTGTCTGCATAGGTTTCCTCCGGGTACTCCGGTTTCCCCTACCACTAAAAAATATGTATAATAGGTCTGGCATGCGCCTCCGGTTCGGCGACCCCGCTCCCATCTCTGTCTGGAGTGAGAGGACAATTGCCCAAAAAAATAATAACAATTGTAAAACGCTTTGTAACCCTTGTCTGTGAAAGGCGGTATATAAATACACATTACTTACTTACCCATTCCTTCCTTGTTATATCAAAAGAATGACCCATAAATCTTGTGCAGCAGTGTGAGCGGCCGAGAACTGTGAACATTCCAAATGATACAAAAAGCAAATATTGTGAAATGAAGTCAGCACAAACAGGAGAAAGTCCTGAGTGTGTTCTTCTCTGTCCCAGGACGTCATGAGGGGCTGCTGCTCCCTGTGTGAGGCGCTCAAGGACAGGTGTCCCCGACCACGAGGCCTGCTCAACCGGGTCATCACCAGAGGTAATGGGAGGGTTTACAACTGGTTTAGTCCTGGTTCTATAGTAGTCTAGTGCTGGTTTAGTCCTGGATTGGACCTGGTATAGTCCTGGTTTAGTTCTGCTCTTTATCTGAGCTGTCGTGGTCTAGTACTGGTTTAGTCCTGAGTTTGTCCTGGTTGGTCTTGTTTCAGATCCAGGACTAAACCAGGCTGTTATGATAAGGCTGTTAAACCTGGTTTAGTGCTAGTTTAGTCCTGGTTTGGACCTGATTCAGTCCTGGTTTGGACCGGGTTCATTCCTGTTTTAGTCCGTGTTAAGTCTACTTTGAGTCTTTGTTGTCAGTTTTGGTTTAGTCAAAACTGAGCCATGACTGTGCTGCCCACGGTGGCTGAGTGGATAGCACTCTCGCTTCTCAGCAAGAAGGGCCTGGGTTCGAATCCTGGTCGTAACAGGGCCTTTCTGAGTGGAGTTTGCATGTTCTCCTTGTGTCTGTGTAGGTTTCCTCCAGGTACTCCCGTTTCCCCTACCACTAAAAACATGTACAATAGTTCTGGCATGTGCCTCCTGGACTGGCGACCCCGCTCCCATCTCTGTGTGGAGTGAGAGACAAATGCCCAAAAATAACAATTGTAAACCGCTTTTTGACTCTGGTCTGTGAAAGGTGGTATATAATAACGGCTTATTAAACGAGCGCTAGGTCTGTATGGGGAAATATCAGTCTTTCTTAATGTACAGACCGAGCAAGCAAGGTTAATACATTTTTATTATATGACTATTTTTAATTTATGCAAATATCGATATCCAACTTGGTTTTCCTAATTGTGTTTTTAGCTTTCTGGTCTGCAACAAAGTCTGTTAGTTATTTTTTCTTCGTTATTTTCTGTAATTTCTTCCTCTGGCTCGTCAAACTCGTCCGGATAATAGAATTCACTGGAGAATTCTCCCAATTGTCGCCCATTATTTCTTTTTATGTGATGATTTTTATGTGATGATTTGTGATGTGGACTGTGAAGCGCTTTGTGTTGCCCTGTGCATGAAAGGCGCTCTACAAATAAACTTTGATTGATTGATTGATTGATTTTTTACCGAGGAAACTCAAGATAGAAATCAATTGTGATACGCGCTGCGAACTGATTGTCATGGTAATGGTCCGAGGAAAGATATCAAATGTGATACGCGCTGTTCGGACCAATTGTCATGGTAACGGTCTGAGATGGGAAAATGTCATACCGGTAATCAGCCAATCAGAGCGTGCGTACGGTCCAAGTCATATAATAAATAAAGATTACTTACTTACTTAGTCCTGATTAATCTACTTTCAGTTTTGGGTTTAGTCTTGGTTGAGTCACAGTTCAGTCTTGGTTCAGTCTTGGTTCACTCCTGGTTTAGTCCTGGTAAACCCTGGGTTCAATTCCACCTCCAGACAGGTCCTTTCCATGTGCAGATTGCATGTTCTCCCCTTCTCTGGGATCATCTCCAAACTAATTCTGACTGAGAGCCGTTGCAGTCCTGGTCTGACTCTGGTTCTGTCCTGGTTCCAGCCTGCCTCCTCGCCCTGCTCTTTGGTGTGATCTGGTCCATCACCGGCTCGGAGTGCCTTCCCGGCGGAAACCTCTTTGGGCTGGTTCTGCTCTTCATCTGTGCTGTTCTGGGAGGAAAACTCATGGGCATGGTCCAGTTCCCCACCCTGCCCCCCTTCCCGCCTCTGCTCGGTAAGTCCTGCTGTGCTGCTTAAAGCTGGGGTATGTACATTTCATACCACGACAAATCAAAATCTGTAATACAAGCCATCAAACACATTCCTCTCAAAACTATATGACTACTTTTACATGTGTTATGGACTCTTTCACATCATCAGATCTAAATGATGATAAACATTGCATGACATGTTGGATATGGTTGGGTCTTATGGTTACGGTCTTTTTATTGAGGTAGTGATGGGAGGAGGAGGGCTGCGGCACAAGCTGAAAGTTGAGTAAAGATGAGGCTCAGTTGTGTTGTAGTGGGAGGCAGGTGCCAATCTCAATTCCAATCTGAACCTATGGATTAGCATTTTTTTTAACTAGCTGTAAGCTTCGCAACAAACAGTGATCAGAGTGCATGTAATGGGATGATACAAAATTCACATATTTCAGAAAATTAATTTTGAAAGGGTCAAAAGATTTTTTGGGATATGAAACAAATGTTATCATTTAAGAAGAAGATGAAGAAATCCTTTATTCATCACACAGTGGTATGACTAACGTGGAGAATGCATTTTTGTATTTTATATTATTAAAGAGGATCTAAACAATTACAGTCTTTTTGATGTGCTAATTATATGAGAAAATGTTCAATCTTTGTCCTACTTTGAACCCGCTTCAGGTCTAAGTTGAATGCAGGTTGGTGTTGATTCTGTGAGTTTTTGGTCCTGGTTCAGTCCTGACTGTGGGTCTGCTTCAGGAATGCTTTTGGCCGGTCTGCTTCTGAGGAACGTCCCGTACATCTGTGACGCGATCCACATCGATCCTCACTGGTCCTCAGCTCTGAGGAACATCGCTCTGGCCATAATCCTGACCAGAGCTGGACTCGGACTCAACCCTCAGGTCTGGAACTTTTTCCTAAGCTCTAAAAACTGAGATGGATAGAAAAAGTCCGACAAATATATGGCAGCATTCAGTCAGTTACTTTACTATATTTAGCTTTGTTGCAGTCAAATTGAAGTATTGCTTCTATCGCAGTAATAGGTACTAGAAGCTTCTTCCTTGATTCCACTGCAAATACTGCAGTCAACCCAAAGCTTTTTTCCCTTTATAATGAGATGAAAGTTACACAGACAAAAAGTGGAACTCTGAGCTTTTATAAGAGATAGAGAACAACTCCAATCAAAAATGTATGTCATCCAAATATTTACCAATGAGAGAAAATGTTTGTGGTAAGCCAAGTTGCTGTAAAGACATCGTCCTGGAGTTCAGTTGCACTCTCTGCACTTGCTTCTGTTCTATAACGTGTCCTCTCTCCGTCAGGCCCTGTTGCGTCTGAAGGCGGTGTGTATCCGTTTGGCAGTTGGCCCCTGTCTGGTGGAAGCCTCTATCGTCGCCATCGTCTCTCACTTCCTCTTGAACCTGCCCTGGGTCTGGGGCTTCATCCTCGGGTAAGCGATCACCAACGTCTCACGGCCGATTTAATCTGCAAATCGATAAACCAGTCCTTCCCAAAATAGTTCTCCCGATGAGTCTCCAGTCTTTAGGGGCTGGATTAGTTGCAGTGAAATGAATAGAATATGGAGATGGTGACTGAGTGGTTAGCATTATCAGCAAGGAGGTCCTGGGTTCGAATCCTGGGTGGAACAAGGCCTTTCTGACTGTAGTTTGCATGTTCTCCCCATATCTGCGTTTTCCTCTGCTCCGGTCTGAATGTAATGAGTGAGTGAATGGATGGTGTTGATTGGGGGCTTATGAGCGCCAGTGTGTGTAAAGCGCTTTGGGTGACCTTGGTCTGTAAATATGCACCATATATAATATGCACCAGATGTCTTACTTATTTACTAAAGAATGCATGTTGAAGTGCATAACCAGAATTGCAGAAGGACCTACAGTCTGTGATCGTGTGGTGCAGGTTTGTCTTGGCCGCGGTGTCGCCGGCGGTGGTGGTGCCGTCCATGTTACTGCTGCAGAGGGAGGGTTACGGAGTGGACAAGGTAATCCCAACTCTGCTTCAACTGCATATCACTGCTTTGAATGATTTTGGACTTTTTTCTGGTGGAATAGTGCTTGTTTACATTTTAAATTAAGACGAAGAGATGTTTTATTTGTCGGGGGACTTCAGAACAGCACAAGATACATGAATAATAACTCTCTACTAGAATCCAACAAAATATCCAGCTTTAACATTTTTAACATAATAAAGAAGAAAGTATAAAATCTAGAGCTTTAGCGTAATAAGGAAGTAAGTTTAACACCTTCAACTTCAGCATCATAAAGTTGGAGTTTTGCACCAATGATGTTTGAGACAAAAAGTGGTTTTTGTTGGGAAAAATGCCTACCGTGACATTGTGAACAACTGGCCAGTAGAATAATAAATACATTTAAATAAATAACCAAAAAAGCGAAATCAGAAAATCTTGAAATGTGGTTTAGTGAAAGTTCAAATCTGCCATTTGCCGTTTAACACATGAAAAAAATGGGATGTTTTCCAATTCATAAACAGCACTGGTTCTTATACTTGGTCTTGGCGGCATGTTTTACTAAACTGCCTCATAAAATGTTAAGTAAGCAGTTTATTGCTTATACATTCAGGTGCGGACAAGTTCCATAGTTCCATTTTTGGTCAAAAGAAGGCACTAAAGTCACATGATAATGACTTGAGGAGAATCCAACAGCAGCATAAAGATAGAGTTAAGAAATGTGTGTTTGTAATGCACCTTGTGTCTCTAGTGGAGCACTCACACCTCACACCAGTCAACAACACGGGGCCAACAACATATGATTAAATATAAAGCTGGGCCACTTAATTTATTTTTATTTTTATGAATAACATGCACTGCAAGAAAATGATAAAATATAAGGTAATACCTGCTCGAAACGACTGGTTTGGATTCAAAATGTGCTCAATTTAAGATATAATTGGACAAGATTTTTTTTTTGAGAACTTATTTTTCATAACTTTTTGTAGTGTATGTTGTTGTTGTCCTGTTGTTTGTCGAACAGAAAAAAGTATTGTAAAAGTAAAATGTTATGAACCAGATAGCCCACCACGTAAAACATCTTCTGCATACGTTCTCAGGGCATCCCCACGCTCCTGATGGCTGCTGGGAGTTTTGACGACATTCTGGCCATCACAGGGTTCTCCACCTGCCTCGGCATCGCCTTCTCCACAGGTGACACTTTGTTGGTTTAATTAAAAGAACAGAATGTGTCGGATGGCCTGTGTTGGTGACACTGTCGGTCTGTGTGTTTGCAGGCTCCACGTGGATGAATGTGCTGAAGGGTCTTCTGGAGGTGGTGGGAGGGGTCCTGGCTGGCCTCCTGGTCGGGCTGTTCCTCTGCCTGTTTCCCAGCTCTGAGCAGGTCTGGACTCAATAGAATTATAATTCACTTCAAATCCAGTCCTGTCCTCGTTACATTCACATTCAAATGAAACAATGTAAAACGGGTTTCTAATGGACAACTTAAAAAATTACAAATTACAAATCTTGTCCCAGAGTAAATTTCCTTTATTTTTGCTTGAACGTTTAATTTGGACATAATTCAGCTTCTTTGCTACTTGTGGCAATTTAGAAATCACAGATGCAGCATCTCATATTTCTGCAACAAGATGGTTTTTTGGAGATGAAGCCACCTTACTGTTTATAAAAAAAAAAAATCTTATTCTGTGGACTCCCCAGTAACAGCACAACTGTTTGAGAACGAGAAACAAGGTGGATTATTTTTTTTTTGGTCATTTGAAAGTTAGGTAGGCCTAAAAAAATCAGAAATGAGCTGTTCTTTAATATTCAATCAACTTTTTTCCAAATAAATCACCCCATCAACCCATGATCAACCATGGTCTAAGTGTTGTTTTTGCTGGTTCAGACCATAGACTAGACCCTCTCCTCTCTCTCAGGAGGACTTGACTGGGACCCGGTCTCTGCTGCTGCTCGGACTCTCGGTCTTCTCCGTGTTCCTCTCACACGTGGTGGGGTTTGCTGGAGCCGGAGGTCTCTGTGTCCTGGTTCTGTCCTTTGTGGCTGCACTGGGCTGGAGGGTAAACAAAGTAAGCCCAGTTTGAGTTCTGGCTCAAACTGGTTTAGACGTGATTCTTCATCTCTGTTTTTGTCCCTGGCAGGCTCCCGTAGCAGCAGTCGTGGGTCACTCCTGGGATGTTTTTCAGCCGCTTCTGTTTGGTTTGATTGGAGCTGAGATCACCATCACTGCCCTGAACCCCAGCACCGTGGGTAGGACAACTTTTACTATTATTCTAAATACTGATGAAAAGGGCCTGGTTGGTATAATCCCTCAATAATCCAGAAAAAAAAATCCAAAAAAAGTTTCAAAGAAGTCATCTGAACTGTGATAAAAATTATAAAATAAATAACAAAAGGTAGTAATAATAATACACGGTTATAATACACTTGCCGTAGTTCTTCATAAAGTTTTAAACTCAGAAGTTTGATCAAACCCAACACGAGTCCAAACAACCCACTGAGCTTTCACACAAGTGTCCCAGGTCAAAATGCCGTTTGGATCCACTGAATCTGCTTCTGCTACATCCGCTCCTTCTACTCCAACTGATTATAGATGTTTCTGTGCGGCAGGTCTGGGCGTGGCCTGCCTCTTCATCGGCCTCTTCGTCCGTGTCGTCGTCACGTTTCTCCTCGTTCACTTTGGAGGATTCAACCTGAAGGAAAAGTTCTTCATCGCTGTGGCCTGGCTCCCCAAAGCCACAGTGCAGGTACAGCTCACCTGTCCACTCCTGCACCGCACCTCCTGAATTATCATCATCAAGTTCAAGTTACAAGTTACAGTAATTGTTCCACTATTCCACTACAGTCACAAACATGTGACTATAGTGGGAATACTGTCGTAATTTGGTTTCAACTTCAACTCAACAAATGTGATTTATTTTTGTGCACCTAAATCACAACAGTACTTATCTCTGAGCACTTTACAAAACCGTCAAACTCGGCAACACAGACCCTCCTGCATTGGAAAAGAAAAAGTTCACTTAAATTACCTTCTTTACAACTGCGTGCCTTCAAATAGATCATTTTGAGCTGGTTGATTCCAGAAGTATAAACATTTTATTTAAAAAAAAAATGTTTTTTGTTTTTTTCCCACATTATTTTTCTTTTAACAAATTGTATTTTACATGAGTTTGGATACTAATTTATATTAGGTTTGGATTAAACCAAGTGGGTCAAATATCAAGAACAATATAAAAAGCAACAACAACTATAACTTTCAATCACATTTTTGTTAACATTTTGGTGCTGGTTTTTTATCCTGAAAATGGGCTTTAAAATTAAGTAAACATGCCATAGTATCCCATTACATCAATACTGCAATTTACTGTGCTAATGATAATTGAAAAAAGCCCCCGCTGAAAGATCAAGGCTATGCTAACACTTACAGAGCAGCCGTCCTCCTGTGGACCTGCAGAGGATCAGTGAGGGGCTGGTGCGTTGGGTGCAGCTCTGACTGCCACCCCCCCGACCCAGAAATGGATTAAGGGGTAGAAAATGAATGGATGGATGGATGATAATTGAAAATCATTGCAGGAGCCACTAATAATGGTCTTACCTGTGGGATTTGACCCACAGGCCTGAGTTTGACATGCCTGAAAGAGATGGTTTGTTTCGTAAAAGCATGCAAAAGTTTAACGCTCCTAAACCGCTAATTCAGGAGCGTTTGCTAATCCCTCTCATCTCTCGATATCTGTTTATTCATATTTCACCTTGTTTTGATTCAGTGATGCCTTACGTGCTTGTTGGACATGTTACAGGCTGCGATCGGCTCGAAGGCCCTGGACATGGCGCGGGAGCAGGCGGACGAGGTTCTGGTGAAGTACGGTCTGGATGTGCTGACGTTAGCCGTGTTGGCGATCCTCATCACGGCCCCCATCGGCGCCTTGGGGATCGGCCTGTCGGGACCACGCCTCCTCCAGCCACAGACCAAAGGTTAGTGGGGTTAGTGGTGAGTAGTTTAACAATGGTTACTTGTGACAAAAAGTTGAAGAGAATGTAAAAAGAAAATTTGGGACATAATGAGTGCTACCATTGAATAATACTAAACAATTGTCAAAATAAAAGCTTTTAACTGACTGTTTATATTCAACCAAAAAACAGCAATGTTTCATAGTACAATTCATCATTCCATAATAACTGTTGTGTAAATAAGGCGTTCCCAAACTTTTCAATCTGGATCCCAAAATAGGCATGAAATCAACTCCCCCATCGATGCAAAATATTTAATAATGTTAAGCAAAACATGCGTTCATCATTTCATTACTGACCCTCGCTTTGGGAACCACTGTGTAAATGGGATTAGCTTTTAGCCTTGTTGTGCTTCCTATTGCTATAAATCATGACTGCAACCAGGAAGTAAATTATAACTTTTAAAACAGAATATAAACAATTAACAACGTTTCAATAGATCACAACACAAATCTGGGGCTGAGTCACCATTTAGAAATCTAAAATGAAAACCCAAAAATGTTATTAGTTATTGGGAATTAGGATTAGCATTGAACCCTAACCCTAACTCCTATGATCCAGGTCCTGATTTTGACATTGTCGCTTGAATGGACTATGATGTTGTTTTCTTTTTTTTTAAACCTCCCAACGTTGAACTTGAACAAAACCACGGTGTATTTTATCAAACCAGTTTTACTCTATGTATATTTTGTCAGCAACTTGATGATTCTTACCGTCAAAAGACACAATTTGAAATAAATCCGGGACCAGTTAGAACTCCAAACTCGCTGATCAAATTTGATACAAAAATGTGTACAAAACTTAACAGGGATTTTACATACACATTATTCTGCAATTTGTCTCAGTTGTGTAAGAGGAACTGTTAAAACCCCCAAAATCTATGAAAGCCAACCCCCAGATAGCTAGACCACAGTTTATATTTGCATCGCTATGGTTCGGCTATCTAATCTACCTTTTTCACTGACGGAACTATTGTTTTGTAGTTTCAGAAGACCCAGAGATCCCAGGCTCATCCCCAGACTCCAACTGCCTCTCGGAGAAGGACTGTGCCACCATCGAGAGCAGGCTATGAATAAGAAACTCGCATGATTCACTTTATTTTAACATATATATTTTTTATTTATATTTTTCCTTGGTTTTATCATTGTTTTGGCTGGAAGTGGGTGCAGTAAAGAAGTGGTTCAATTAGTTTGTGTAAGCCCTCAGTCGTACAGGGATTAGTCAAAGCAAAGGAAGGTTTCTAACCCATCATCTGTACTTCTTAGCAAGTTTTCCTGACGTTTTGTCCTCAATCCAAAGGACTTCTTCAGGGAATGAATTCTCAGACCGCGCGTTGGAGATGTATAACCTATGGGTGTGATTAGCCACACCCTAATCCTGATACTAACTCATAAACAATCTAAGGTCTGTTTGATGTAGAAGGGAGCAGGTCTAACGACCCTGCTGAGGCTAACGACCCTAACTCCTTAGCATGTCACAGACCTATTGTCTGCTGGGATGCTCAAGTGGAGTGCAGGTCTCACCCCTCCTAACTCATTAGCATGTCACTGACCTTGTCCCAAGTTAGGGCGTTGTTTTTAGGATGTCGTCATAGATGTGAGGCAAAACAAATCTATGTTAAGAGAAGGTTTTTGTTTCCTCACAAAAATGGCTTCTTTCACTCCTCTCTCAAACCAATTCTTCTCCTGAGCCAGAATTTTAACCTCTGTGTCATCCACCGTGTGGTTGGAGGCCTTGAGGTGGAGATGAACAGCCGACTGTGGCCCACTAGAGTTTTCTCTACGATGTTGGTAAAGTCGTTTCTGTAGAGTTTGTTTGGTTTCTCCAATATAGTGGTCAGTGCACTCCTCTTCACTACATTTAATTGAATACACCACATTGCTCTGTTTGTGTCTGGGTGTTTTGTCTTTGGGATGCACTAGCTGAGTTAGTATCAGGATTAGGGTGTGGCTAACCACACCCATAGGTTATAAATCTCCAACGCGCGGTCTGAGAATTCATTCCCTGAAGAAGTCCTTTGGATTGAGGACGAAACGTCGGGAAAACCTGCTAAGAAGTACAGATGATGGGTGAGAAACCTCCCTTTGCTTTGAAGTGGTTCAATTGTGTAAAAGCTCGGAGCTCGCCTGTCACTGTATTGTAAGTGCTTTATTTATTTGTGTGTGTTCTAAGAGGTAGGATTTTGTTAAAAGTTACTTAAAGTGTATATATGAAATGTATTTAAATAAATATAACACAAATATATGGCTGGTCTAACTCAAGAATTACTGTCATTATCTTCACACTAGTACAGTATACAAAATAGAAATGTTTTTTGTTTATTTCAAGGGACACATTTATCTTCCCAAAGCTATGTGCGTTCATTGGCAAATCCTAAAGCTGGGGTAGCGACCTGTTTTCCCATTAATAATATTATGTTACAAACAGAAGGAGTCTTGAAAAAGCAAAACAAAAATGACAAAATGTAAAAATGATAGGATGAAAGGATTTTGAATCAAATATATATGAAATACTAATATGGAAGTACTTTTTGCAGTGCATTTTCATGTTATGCCTTTCTTTGAATGATATATGTATGTTGATTTAAAGCAGACGACCAATCCGTCATCAATCATCCATCGGTCTTCAGTGTTTGCATAGACATGGAAAGACATATAATTTGTTGCAGACCTTGGGTCATTTAACATTTATTTGAATATGCAGAGCTTTTCACACAGGTGCACTGACAAATGCAAATGGCTAAGGATAATCAAATACCGTCACTCATGCAACATGAGCTCATGTTGCATGAGTGACGGTATAAGTTTATCTAAACTTATACCTTCACTTTAATAAACAAAAACATTTATTTTTTAAGTTTATCTAAACTTATACCCCTAAGTTTACATAAACTCAGGAGTATATTAATCAAGGTTGTGTGTACATGCTCAGACTGAGCGCAAGTGCAGGCCTCATTATTAAAAAGTCTGATTCCCGTACTGTACCAGGCATTTCTAATTCTTAAGTTTGCATGTTTCTTCCTATGTCTGGGCTCCCACAGCACAACAGCGAAGTCCAGGGAACTCACCAGAGGGGTCAAGGGTGAAGTAAAGATGTTTTTAAGCATTGTTAGGGTATACAGGGTATACAAAGATTTCCCAACCTTTGAACATCTTACGGAGCACTGTCCATGTGTCCATCAACTGAGAATGAAAAGAGTATAGCCACTGCAAACATACCAAGACACGGATAGCTTTGTGTTGGCCAAAAAGTGTTACACACAAGGTTCATGATGAAAAGTATGCACGCACTGCAAATGTGTCATCCTCTACACAAATCTGGCCTTTAAGGATGAGTAGCAAATAGAAAGCCGGTATTGAAACAAAACAGCGAAGGTAACCACTTCACTCACAGTATCTAATTGTAAATGAGTAGTTCCTCGATTAAAAACAATTTGGAAGATTTTTCTTCTCTAAAATACACCCCTATCCTCATGTGATTCCATTTTAGAATTTTAGGGTATGGACAAACGAACGCTAAACATCCATTTTCCATTCCAGCACGCTGGCTGAGTGGGTATCTTTCATGCTTCACAACAAGAATATAATGGGTTTGATCACATGTCTGCCAAGGCCTTTCCTTGTTGAGTTTGAATGTTTCTCCACATGTCTGGGTTGGTCTCCTCCAGGTGCTACGGTTTCCCCAGCCACCCAAGACATAGACCAAAGGTAAAATCCTCCAGCTACTGTGGACCTGACCGAGCCCTCTCTGGACTGTTGAGACCACTTGTCCTCACAGGATGCCCTAGTGCCAAAACAGTTTGGATTAAAGTCAGAGGACAAATGTTAATATGGGGACAATTAAGTAAATCCTACCTTTTTCAATCTTGTTTACTATGTTCCTTTCTGATATTCACAGGACAAATGGAACTCCTCCCTAACTGCTCTCACAATGCTGTGGTCTGCATGTGCGATGGATCTCTCACGCTCAGCTTCCTCCTCATCGCCTGGTTTTTTGCGTACTTACTTATGGTTCCGGCTTTCCTTCTTGTCCTCTACATTGGCTGCAGGAGATGGAAGAAAAATCCGCAAGCACCTATGAGCAACACTGACATCTTTACATTACACCTGATGACCCAAGAGCTCTTGACGGCCTCGGGTGCAATGTTATTTGTTTACAGTCTGTATGTCAAAGCTATCCTGGCACTTATGGCACAATGTCCTTTGAATACATTGAACAATTGGATATTGTCCAGAAATAGAGTATAGAGTAAGAGCCACAATGTTCACATTACTGCCAATAAACCACAACTTTCTCCTGCATTTATTATATTTAAATATGTCAAATTCAATTGATTGTGTGATTGTGTTTAAGTATGCGTTATTTTCTAACCATGTAAATGGCTTGAGCCAAAAGGATTTGTTTAATGAAAAACAAAAAATGCCTGTTATATCACCATGCACAGCATCAGATATCACTGTAATTATATGTAAACAATAGTTTTTAGTTTTATTATACTTTGAACAGTTATGATCTGAAAATGATGCATGAAATAAAGACTTGCTCTTGTCACAGTTGAGGTTGCTTTAAGTTTCTAACTCACAAACTGCAGAAGAAAACACAAGATTGTTACAAACGCAGTTATTCTGCAACATTTTTCCTCAGCCTCTCTCAGCTGGCCTGGGAACACCTGCCTGATAAACGTCTGCTCGGCATCTCTCTGGGACCGCATGAAGCCGGTGGATTGGAGTCTAGAATGTAATACAGGTCTACCCCTGGGTAAACTGGTCCTGCTGTATCACTCTTCTCCTTTGTATCCTGACAGAGGAAAAACTGTCACATTAAAGGCCCTGTACGCTTAGCACAGAGTGCAGATCAAATTGGTGATTTTAGATTGTTTTCACCTGAGCACGCGGCAGATCGATTAAGTTTAACAAGTAGGCCAGCGAATAGTCATTGACTCACTCTACTCTTGAGTGTGAGCATGAAATTCTTGCTGTTGCTATCATATTTTAATGTCAAAATGGTATAGATCACCATTTTCCGGTTTTTTAAATCAAGCTGCTGACTCCACATGTTTAGTCCTAAGTCTGGGCACCTGTGCTCCTCAGAGTACAAGTTGGTTTATATGGCGTTAATGTCATGGATACACTTTAGAGCAAGTCCAGAGAGAGACTTCCATTTGCAGAATCTGAAGAAAGAGTCCTAAGCCCCAAATAAAAAATGTATCACAAAATATATGTCAGCCACTAACATTTCATTAGCTTTTATCCTACGCATCTCAATCACTTTCTTTGAAATCACACATTTTCCTTTGTTTCAGGAGATGGAACTGCTGTTGAACTGTTCAGACAGCTTCAACATAGCAGGCCTGTGCTCTGGTGATGTAGCCGGAAAAGTCTTAGTCCATATTTGGTTTGTGGTCAGCCTGCTTTTGGTTCCTCTTTTCCTGTCCGTCCTGTACATCGGCTACAAACGATGGAAGAAACATCCACGCTCAGCTGTTAGCCACGCTGACGTCTTCTTCTTCAACATTGTCTTTGTGGATCTCATTAATGTTCTGGCGACTGGTTTGTTCTTTTATGTTTCGTCCGTCAAAGTATTGAATGACATTGGAAAGGGTCTGACCTGTTTTAGCAATACTGCAGAGCTGTTCTTCCACACCCTCACCTGTGTGGAGCGCTACCTGGCCGTGGTTCATCCAATCGTGTATCTGCGTTTGAAGAAAAGGGATGGGGTCTTGATCCGAAACATCAGTACTGGTTTAGTCTGGCTTTTATCTGTCCTGAGTGCCTTATGTTTTGTCTACAGTTTTTATCTTGTAAACTTGATATACTTGTGTTTGGTGATCTTCTGCTTAGTGTTGATATCTTTCTGCAGCATCTCTGTTCTCTGCAACCTGATTGGTCCAGGGCCTGGCGAAGGGCTTGGCAACAGAAATAAACTTCAGCGGTCAGAGCAGTCGGCTGCTTTTACAATAATGATCATTTTGGCAACACTCGTTGTTGGACTGGGAAATATGTATGTGTCTTCAATTACTAATCATATATGGAGCAAGGGATCTGTGTCCAATCCTGTTGTCTGTTTAATGGAGCTCTGTGCTCAGCTGGTCGTCGATGCCATTGCTGTATCTATGCCGATCCAGAAGGCAGAGGCAGTTATCAGAGTTGAAAGAATCCAAATGATTGAGGTCAAAAGCTTTCAACTTGCAGTGAGGACATGGGCCGAAATCAGCAGTTCTTTCAGTACTCCTGAATACTTGAGACATTTAACTAAATGTTGGTACACTTAAGCCCTGTGTATACTCGCACGGCGCTGAACTTGCGGTGGCACTCGTGACGTCACTTGATGCCACATGGATCAACGCAAGACCCTTGTGCTACCACCCTTGCACCCACAGATTTTCCCGGCAGCGCAGAGGAGGTGCACTGTGATTGGCCATTGACCATTTGGATGAAGGCATGGAGCGGCTGCGGCAGAACATGGTTGAGGCCCTTGGGAGCAGATTGCTTTGTGCTTCGAAGGGGACTGAAGGAAAAGCAGTTTGGACTCATGGCTCAGAGCCTGATATATGAGGAGGCTGCGGACTAGAGTTCTGTTGCATATCCAACATATATCGAACATTTCTATACTGTACAGTCGTTACTTTTGCACTGTTCCTGTCTTTGTTGGAATCTGCACTTGAAGCTTATCGCGTCTGTTGCATTCCTTCATGTTTGGTCTCAGATATTTATCACCTATTGTTTTGCTGTTTGTGTTATGGTTTTGGTTATTTGTTGACAAAACTCTTGTCTTCAGATATTGTGTTCCCAGCTGGATTTGTCTGTATATCTGGCAATCTGAGGCCCCGTCTACACGTAGCAGGGTATCTCACAAACCGAAGATATTTTCCTACGATCTGGCCTATCATCCACACAAACCCGGAGTTTTCTGTCGATAAAAACGAAGGTTTCTGAAAACTCCGGCCAAAGTGAAGATTTGGGAATTCTCCGGTTATGCGTTTGAGTGTGGACATAAATAACCGGAGTATTCGGCTGTACGTCACTACCAGCGTGCTGCTCTGACGTCACACGCGCGACCTGTGTTTACATCAGAAACAACATGGAGGCCATCAAAACCGCTTTTGTTTTAACGATTGTTCAGGCACTTTTTGCTTGCTTGTTTTTACAAGCTCAAATACTGCTTCATGTTGAAGAGCACAGACGAAGGAGCACTTTAAGGTCGGCTATTTTCCGCCAAATAACCATCCCTCGTCCAAGACATGTTCCTCGTCAAAGACGGCAACGGCAATTTTGGGTCAGACCGGGACAAACTTTGAGATGGAAGTCGTCCTCCCGGAGGAAGGTAGGTTTGTAGGTTTGAAATGTAATTGACAACGCATGTATGCGGTTAGGTGTGGATGCCGTTTTTTAAAAAACCGAGGCTGTGTGGACAGAAGTTTTTTTTTAGGCGGAGGGCGGATTTATAAATGCCCTGCTACGTGTAGACATGGCCTGAGTCAGGGAGAGTGGGAGAGGTTACAGTACCACTTTTGGCCAGATTTTTACATACTACTCCTTTAATTAACGTTAGTTCACTAGAAAAAACTGCAGACTTGCTGCGGCCCTTGTGCAAATGAGATCTAAATTATTGGGGCAGACACTGAAGCCGGTTCCCTGATAAACTTAATGAACAAATATCTGAAGTCTATTTCAAAAGTCTCCAATGAAAAGAGGCATGATTTTAGTCAATGCATGACACCATAACCAACGAAGAGGAGCACACACATACATTTGTGCCTGGGGGCTCCTGATTTTACATTTCCGCCTGCTCACAAGATTACGCCTCAAGTATCTCAGGTCTTGTTCACAGTGAGGGAAGGATGGAGAGTGAGGAACCTCTGGGGATGACCCAGGACATGCTGGCGGGTCTCGCTCTCTTAGCTGGTCTTTGAACGCCTCGGGATTCCCCCATACAGGCTGGAGGAAGTGGAGACAAAAGTCTGGTGTTTCTGTTCGGACCGTGTCTTCTGTGTTTCGGATTCGAATTGTGTGACTATTGTGTTGTCATTAATCATATACTTTATATCAATCATAATATACTTTCAATTCAATTCAGTTGATCGTCTGGTGATGTGAAATAGGAAGATAATTTTGTGGCCATTTGAGTAAGCTTTAATTGCAAAACTTATATTTATCAAATGCCATTGAAATAATACATAATATAATATAAATTATGCATAATGAATTTACTTTAAACAAATATGATCTGTATTGTATATTGTATGGAATAAAGACTTGCTTCAGACACAGTTTATGTCACTTCTTTTTATATCCGCCTCATGGTTGGTGATGGTCAGATTCTCTTTTTTCAATTTTACACAAAAAGAATTGCAGAGAACACACTATTGTCAAACTCACAAACTCTTAATGGACACACATATCAATCAGGCTACAAACAAACACACAAAAAACATCGCCATTGATACGTGTTAGGGAATGTTTTTTTGCTTTCTGTAGGAGAGAAGCCAAACCCGGGGTCATGAACTTTGAAAACAGGCGTTTTTGTGCTGCGTGTCCGTGGAGTTGAAACAAAGCGTCACCTGCAGCACTAATCTGACTTTATTCTTACAGTTTAATCAATTAGATCAATGGATAAAAGAGCCAACAAATAAGAGGTTTAGGCCCAGTACATTGAGTTCTATGGGACTTTTTTCTGGGTAGCCTACCTGAATCTAGTCTGCAGTATCACGGGCGCCCCCTGTGCCCATAGGTGCGACAGCTATAAACTAGTAATACCCTATCCAGTTATTATTATAGATCCATGGAGGGCCCTCGCCTCTTCTCCCTATTGGAACACCCTACAGCCCCACGTGGGCACGCGCAAAATCTAGGGCAAGAGTGCTTTTTAAGGGCAAGGGTGAGAATTGGGACGGGGCTTTAGACTTCAACAGCAAGTGAAGCCCTAAAATGCTTTGAGTGTGTAAATTACTTGAGAAAACCACTATAACGTGGACAGAAAGAAGAAACATCGATTGCAAGTCATGTCACCTTTAATGAATCAATGTCAGCATGAAAATCTGAGGGCAGCCGCCTGTTGCCTTTTGATGAACGAAAACAAATTAGATCCAAGAATTAAATTTGGCTAATACCTTTAGTGGGAGTTTCCAATCCTCTGAGAAAAAAAGGTTGTCAGTCCTTTTGGTTTTGACGACCCTCAACACTCAAAGGTCCGACAATGGAACATATGCTGTACAAGGTATGAGTTTTTCTCTGATTTAAGGATCCATTCACTTTCTTTAGTAGGATAGTGAATTCACTGTGACTGAATGGGTAGATTGATTGAATGTATTTTATTTCACATAGTCAATCCTCCTTTATGTTTATCTTACACGAATATAACATAGTGTAGTTTCATTCCCACCTATTGTATTATACTTTGAATACCTAATATCAAGATTTAGTTGACATTTCTATTCAAACTCTCCCTTGATAAATTCTTTCTCTGTTAGTGTTTTTTCTGTTTGTGTAACTAATTCAGTGGCTGAATAGGAGTTACACAAACTCCTGATTAGTCTTAATTTTATTGCATAATGCAATTGATATAACTTTAGATTTTTGGCACATAGATCATGATGTTGACCTTCCATGTTTAGTCTTGACTCTTTCCGGGCAGAAGACCAGTCCCTCAGAGTCTGAGTTCATATGGCACTAACATGTCACATAATATGTACTTTGTGTCAGACCATGGAGGGACAGATGTAAAGATTCATTAAAGTCAGTGACAGGCAGCCATTCCAGAGACCTGACCACAGGACTAATGTGAGATGACTTCTGCTTCTAGTCAGGATTCCATTCGAAGCATTCTGAAGCCAGTTCAGAAGCCTCAGTCTAAAGAAAGATATTGAATCACTGAAGACAAAATGAATGTCATGAAATAAATTTCCACTAGCTTTCATCTTGTGTATCTCAATAAATTACATTTTCTTCTAAAACCCACAATTTATTTTGTTTTCAGGAAATGTTGAACTGTTCAGACAGCATCAACATAGCAGGCCTGTGCTCCGGCGAAGTCTTAGTCCATATTTGGTTTGTGGTCAGCCTGCTTCTGGTTCCTCTTTTCCTGTACGTCCTGTACATCGGCTACAGACGATGGATGAAACATCCACGCTCAGCTGTTAGCAACGCTGACGTCTTCATCTTCAACATAATCTTTGTGGATCTTCTGGGTCTCCTGGGGTTTGGTTTGTCCTTATATGTCTTGTCCGTCAAAGTATTGAATGACATTGGAAAGGGTCTGACCTGTTTTAGCAATACTGCAGAGCTGTTCTTCCACACCCTCACCTGTGTGGAGCGCTACCTGGCCGTGGTTCATCCAATCGTGTATCTGCGTTTGAAGAAAAGGGATGGGGTCTTGATCCGAAACATCAGTACTGGTTTAGTCTGGCTTTTATCTGTCCTAAGTGCCATATGTTTTGTGTACAACTTTAACCTTGCAAACTTGATATACTTGTGTTTGGTGATCTTCTGCTTAGTGTTGATATTGTTTTGGAGCATTTCTGTTCTTTGCATCCTGATTGGTCCAGGGCCTGGCGAAGGGGTTGGCACCAGAAAGAAGCTTCAGCGGTCAAAGCATTTGGCTTTTTTCACAATAACGGCCGTGTTGGCAATTCTTGTAATTAAACTGGGAAATTTTTTGTATCTTCAATTAATCATCATAGTTGGAGCAACCAATCTGTGTCCAATGCTGTTGCCTTCTTTATGGAGCTCTTTTCTCAGCTGGTTGCTGATACCACTGCTGTACCTACACCGATCCAGGACTGGCAGGCAGTAGATACACATGATTGAGCTCCAGAGCATCAGCACTGGTGCATCACCTGCAGTGAGGAGATGGAGATGGAGATGTTGACTGGAATCAGCGGTTCTTTCAGTTCAACTTCTAACTAAATGTTAGTGCATTTGGGAGTTTACAATATTGCACTGTCAATAGAGGATCAGGTTTCCCAAGATAGTTAGCCGCTGAACGCAGGGACATCCTACGCAATGTCCACAACTTAAAGACGTAGACATCTCAATCATGCCCCGGCCAGAAATCAAAGATGTCTGCCCATTCAAGTCAATGGCTTCTGCCCAATGACATGCAACCCAAATTCAAGTGTGCTTTATTGAGTTAGCGGCTAGTCTGGCAGCTACCTTAAAATTATATCTCTATTTGAAGCAGCGATGTGATGCAGCGATGTCATGCAGCAGAATGAAGCAACACATTCTCTGTGGCACTTCACCTCACGGCAACCAATAAAAATTGTTCTGGAGGTGACATTGAATGTGTTTTATAATTAATATGCCCTCTCTACACTGTTTTCTGATTTGTAAAAATGTGTTGTACAGGTTTTGACATCTTGATTGATGAATATTTGATAAGTGACGCGAATATACTTGTAAAAGCTGCTGCATGAATAAAGATTACTTCTTACTTTTGTGATAAATCTACATTACTATTTCAGTAAATAATAACAAATAACCTATGTTACACAAACATAAACAACCAGCACTGATCACTTGTCCCAACAATAAGAATAGAATGGAATTACAGGCGGACATGTGCGACATCAGACAGTAGAGGTTTTTTCATTTTTGGAGGGTTATATGCATGCATTACTTTAGATTGTTAAATGTTCATGGCTTCTTTTTTCTATTATTCTCTCTTCATTACTCTGATGCAGTAGAAAAACTATAGTAAGCTTGAGAGAAAAGTTAACATGTTAAATAAGGTTATCTTCCATTCTCTCACTTTGCATTTGAAGAACAGCTGCAGAGACACCATCTTGAGAGTCGTCATCGTTCTCACTTGGCTGTTGTTGTATTAAATATAGACTAAAAAGCAGATGTGCATTTGACTGACCCTGAATCAAAAAAGACCTTGTATTGCTCTTCTCCCCTGGTCCCATTTTTGTCCAAAGTGCATGGGTAAGTTAATGATAGTTAATCTCAGGCCAAGGGGGATCGGCATTCCTGGATTCTGCTAAATCCTTTCAGTTGTTTAAAGAAGGAGATGGAGCCCAGAATCTGGAGGAGAAGCCTTGAGAGCCTCCTGTCTTATCTCAAGGAAGTAATATGTCTATGGAATTAGGGAGGGGAGTGTGTGAATGATTCTGTTTAAGGTCCGGCAGACGGAGGAGACATGATGGAAGAGGCCGGACCCTGGACCCGAGACCTGCCTGATACGACACGCCCCCTTCTTCCCCTTGCACATTTACTTAATGAATAGCTTGAATGTGTTTTAGTTAGTTTTTTTACCGGACCAGGGACAGTGTGTGACTTGATGTGGAGCGCCCACTCAGAGTTATACTTTTATACTTTATATAGAGAATAAGGGATAGTTACTTTTGGTCCGAACAGCTGTTTTAGATTCTTTTTGTATTAGGGAAATAAACCTTTTTGAATTTAACTTTCTGAATCATGGTCATCTTTATAAGGGATTTTGAACACGTCATTTTTTTAATACAATACTGTGTACCGCTCTGTATGGTCTACTTTTATGTTTCACCAGATTTATAAATATTGCCATGATTGTAGGTCAAATTCTATCTTGCTACGCGTTAAAAACTGCAACTTTCTTTGCCATCTCTGTTCTTTGTGTTCTGAATCGTCCAGAACCTGGCAAAGGGCCCAAAAGAATGGTTAGCAAAACAAAAATCAAAGCGGGTTGAATAAGGTTTTGACGTTGGACCAAATCGAAAAAACCCTCAAAGACCCATTGTGACCTCTATGCGTGTTTCATGTGAATAAATCGTTTATGCTGTTTGGAAAATAGGCAAAACTGGAAGGGGCATGATCAAACCATCCGACAACTGAATTTGACTAATGCTTTCCATGTTGATTTGGCGAATCCCAACTGACAAATGCGAGACTATCTCTTCAGTCGCAATCCGGTTTTCATCTGTTGACACATTTACAAGGTATGTGCTTTTGTATTATATATCCATCCATCTTAAATAGTTTGTGTTCACATTTGGCTTGTCATATTGGCTGAAATCTAAAATATTAAGCCACTAATGTTCAATGTTATTATTCCTCCATTCTTCTGATGCGCTGATGGCTTTGAGGTTGAATAATGACAAAACCTTTCAATCAAATGTGGAACAAATATTTTGTTTGGTTTTTTTATGATTACAGAGAAGCAAGTGATTATTGAACTCATTGTTACTGCAAATGGCACAAAAATTATGAAATCTTGATTCAATAATGACTATGATTAATCATAATGATTATATAAGGGAGGGGCGACAGTAGCTCAGTTGGTAGAGCATTGGCCTTAAGCCCAGAAGGTTGTGGGTTCAATTCCCACCTCTGCACCTTCTCCACCGACTCCCACTGACTGCTGTCGTTGTGTCCTTGGGCAAGACACTTAACCCCACTTTGCCCAAAGCCCCCACTGAAAGATCAAGGCTATGCTCACACTCAGAGAGCAGCCGTCCTCCTGTGGACTCACCACCTGCAGAGGGTCAGTGAGGGGCTGGTGCTATGAGACTTGGGTGGCATCTCTGACTGCCACCCCCCTGACCCAGAAATGGATTAAAGGGTAGAAAATGGATGGATGGATGGATTATGTAAGGGATGTATTGTACACAGGTCCTTATCGGAAAATAAGTACAGACAGGGCGAATACAATTTCAAAACGTACTACCGGACATTATTTTTTATAACGGACCTCTCAAAACAATAATGACCGCTGCTCTCTGCTTGTAATTCATCTGTGTAGATTGCTCTACACAGATTGCAAGTAGTTCCTGCCACTCCGGAGCTAGCCAGAATACACCAGACATATACATTCTTAACACACATGCACAGAGGATTTCAGAACTGTTTTAATGCAAGAAAAAGCGATCGCGAAAAACCCGGAAGTAGATTCCGGGACATTTTAGGAACATTTGCAGAGGATCAAATTATGGATTTAGGTTAAGTTTATGTTTGGGTCACTCACCGCTGATGTTCACAATTCTTTGTTCAGTTTTCATACAGTTCCAGAAAGTTCTAGTTTGGAAGTTGCTAGCCTAACTTAGCATAGCTGTTGCTAGTCTAACTGTTACTCACATAACCACGGGATTGATTTTCTGTCATTAAATAAACCTTTTGGCATTCCTAAGAGTGGACTGAAGTTTATTTTGTGTGTTCTGTTGGTACAAAGCCGTATAATAAGCGGGACCTTCAGGGCGCCCTGTCGGTACTTATTTTCCGATAATGACCTGTGTACGATACATTATCCCTTACATATACATATATATATACATATATCTGAGTTGTTTGTGTGTGTGTACACATAAAGTAAAAGATATTGAGCTTTTAAAAAGTCTTGACAGTCCTTGAGTCCTTTTCTCTGCGCAAGGACCCAATGCCAATTCAATTTGAAGTTGTATACAATGGTGATTGTGTACTACACTATTATAGATAATGTTCTTTCTTTTGTAGATGGATGGATTCATTATATACAACGGTCTTGTCCTTCCAAAAAACTCTACCTGCGACATCAAAGAAGCTGATATAATTTTCCTTTGTGGGACTGTGATGTACAGTCTTTCTCTCCCAATTTTCTTCTTTGTCTTTTGGGTTGGACACCACAAGAAACAGAAGAAACATTCTAGTTACAGCCACCTGGACATAATCACATTTAACTTGTCCATTATTGAGGTCATGGGTGTGGTCGGTAGTTTTTTCATCAGTTGGGGAAATAATGCTAACATTGTCATTATGAAACCAGTAGGCGTATGTTTGCTGAGTATGTCGATGATCGGACAGGTCTTCTTCCACTCTCTCACCTGTGCGGATCGCTACCTCGCCGTGGTTCACCCCATTTCATACTTGCATTTGAAAAACAGCTGCAGAGACACCATCCCGAGAGTCGTCATTGCTCTCACTTGGCTGTGTAGCGCTTTGTATGGTCTGCTTTTAGGTATTCCTAGACTTATTGATATTGCCATGATTGTAGGTCAAATTCTTTCTTACTACGCGATAACAATCACAACTTTCTTTGCCGTCTCTGTTCTTTGTGTTCTGACTCGTCCAGAACCAGGCAAAGGGCCCAAAAGAAGGATTAGCAAATCAAAAAGAACCGCTTTCAACACAGTATTAGTCCTTCATATAGCACTCATGGTTAAGTTTGTTTTTCTTAATCTGTACTACTTAGTTTGTGTGTCAGATGTTTGGATGGCTGATCGATGTGTTTTCATAAATACGGTGTATTGCTTAGAGTGGCCGAGTGCTTTGATGATGCCGCTGTTATTTTTGCATCGGGAAGGAAAACTAACGAGAATGTTCAAGCGTAACATGGCGTTAACCAATGTTGTCGGCTAGTTTTTTTTTCCGGTATAGTTTGGAAATCTGATTATCAAATGGATGCACAAGAACTAGAATTATGGACAATCCTTTTATATGGACTACAACCAAAGTCAAGTCTTGTCAATTTAGGTTTTATTTTTAGCTGGTTTAAACACCATAAATCTCTTTATGGTGTTAGAAAATTCTTTTTCAGATCTGCTTTTATCTTATGTGTGACTTAATTTAGTTAATCTTTGGTATAAAGGACATTAAATTGTATCTGTACATTTTAGTTTGTTTTATTCCTGTACTTTTTGCTTGGTTTATTGATGTACAGTCTGGCACACCGGGAACTTTTGCACCTGTATTCCACTGTGTTTCAACTGCATATGTGGAATAAAATTATTCTGAATCTGAAATTTCCTTCAACTTACACCTTTTCAGTCTTTCTGTTGTAAAGTTACTGTTCTGTAATAATGTGTATAAATGTAGCATAAATAAAATCTTAATTCCTTCATTAATTTCCAAGGTCAATATTTGTGTACTTGTGTTTATAGTCGAATATATTATTTGTTGTAGTTCGTTTTTTAAATAAATGTATGACTATATGAATGTCAAAATAGTTCTAGATAAAGCATATTGTGTGATCATTGGATATGTGCTCATATTGCAGTAATAAAAAAAATATATCAAATTACAGCATCTTTGTCTTCGGTGTTGTTTATAAATTATAACTTTATTGAACAGGTAACATAGGCAAAAAGAGTAACAAGGTGAAAACAACATCAGCAGGACATTTTAAAGAACAAATATGATGTACTATCAGTGTAAACACGAGAATATGTAAATTTAATATTATTTTACAAGTTTTAGAACATGAAATAATATTTTGAGTGTCTTGTTACTACCCTAAACTTGGCTCTGAAAAGGGGAAAGGAAGAGACACACACACAGACAGGAAAGAAACACACACAGACAGGAGAGACACACACACAGACAGGAGAGACACACACACAGACATACAGGAGAGACACACACACAGACAGGAGACACACACACACAGACAGGAGTGACAAACACAGACAGGAGAGACACACACAGACAGGAGAGACACACACAGACAGGGGAGAGACACACACACAGACAGGGGAGACACACACATACAGACAGGAGAGACACACACAGACAGGAGAGATACACACACTACAGGAGAGACACACACACACAGACATACAGGAGAGACACACACAGACAGGAGAGACACAAACAGATAAGAGAGACACACACACAGACATACAGGAGAGACACACACACACACACACACACAGATACAGGAGAGACACGCACACACACACACACACAGACAGGAGAGACACACACACAGACATACAGGAGAGACACACACACACACACATAGATACAGGAGAGACACGCACACACACACACACACAGACAGGAGAGACACACACAGGCAGGAGAGACACACACACACACACACAGACAGGAGAGACACACCAGGAGAAGGAGGGGATGCTTCCACAAACAGCTCAGACCTAGAGCCGTAACATGTCTTTAGCGTGATGTGTGACAATTGGGTAATTACACTCAGTTTTTCTCCCGGTCGGTCAAGTTACATGCAACACAATTGAGTTTCATGTCACGGAAACATGTCATGTCATCAAAGAAAGGACATGAAAGGAAAAACTCACTTTTAAAGCAAATTCTGCATTTTAATTAAGGGACGAGGAACAAATGCATCAAATGGAGAAGGCCCAGCTGGTCTTGTTATTTTATGTCTTAATATTCTTGTGTTCCCTGTAGAGAAAGAGCAGAGGAAGCACCAGACTGTTTGGCAGCTGAAACCAAAGAACATTGATGGACAGAAAGCACTGGTCCCCAAAAGTGAAAATGGCCACCGCTACAAACATGATGGTGCCTACAATACACAAGAGCTGCGTTCCCAAAATGAAAGCCATGGTGTTCAAAACCGCCACTTTCGAATGGTTTACAGCAGGGGTGCTCACACTTTTTCAGCATGCGAGCTACTTATAAAAGGATCAAGTCAAAATGATCTACCTACTACAAAAATGCAAATCATATATTTCAAAAAATATTCTTTATATCTACAATGTATGTTTATGTACATGCAAAACAGCATGAGCCAATATAGCACAACACAACACAATTACCTATGTACATTTTTTGTCATTACCCGAGTTTACTCTGATGACTTTCACTGAATTGAATCGGCCAGGGATGCATAGTCCGGAAAATTGGTGGTAACTCGCTGACAAGTTTGTCGTGGTTTAGCTTTCCTGCACTGAGCGCGGTTGTTTGCGCATGTGCAGTCACCTAAGTGTCAGTAAAACATTACTGAGTAAAACACAGATGTCATTTGACTGTGGTGCCATGTCCATGTGCCATGCCTGTTTTTTTTAAATCCAAATATTTCCCCTCCTCCGTTTATAAAATAATTTGCATCCACACATCTGCGTTATCAATCACATTCGTAACATTCCAAACATGTGCGTCTCTTACGTCCTGTCCTGCGTTGGGGAAAAACACAGAAGTGGGCGGAGTTCTGATGCAGACGCCGGTAACGGCACTTTTACAGTCATAGAAGACACTCAGAGTAAAGACGTATGTTTACAAGCACTGACCCCGTCCTCAGCCCTGGTTTAGTCCTGGTTTAGTCCTGGTTTAGTCCTGGTTTGGTTGTTTTCGAGCGTGAGTCCCCGCGATCACTTTGCTGCCCTCTGATGTGGAGCGAGGATGTTCGCTGCTGCGAGCATCTCACAGCGGACAATTTTTAAGGTAGTATGATCCATGCTTCAGTGATCAGAGGAATTTAGGGGGGTACTGTGGCGTGCGAGAACGCAAAACTCTGGTTATCTCTGTCTACACACAAATGCATTAACAGAGTTTTCAAAAATCTCCACTTTGCCCGGAGTTTTTTGTATATATTCGTTTAGAATGTGTAATTTAGTTTTTATTTAATGCGATCTACCAATACTACCTTTGCGATCGACTGGTAGATCGCGATCGACGTATTGAGCACCCCTGGTTTACAGCCTTTCTGTCTCCCTCCCCTGGCCCAGGTCGATTCAAAACACAGAGGGCTGATATGGTGCAAAACAATACTGTTGCTAGGGCAATCAGCGTCATCAGTAAGTTAGTAAGATGATGGTAAAGGATAAGACTTGAATTGTATGCGAGCGCCGACAGTCCGAGGCTCAACAGCCACGCCGATCCGATGCACGCGTTTCTGATCGTGAGCCAGCCCTTTTTCTTCAATCGCAAGTATGTGATTGGATGAACGACAGCCAGGTAGCGTTCCACACAGGTGAGCGAGTGGATGAAGGTCTGTCCGAAGCGCGCCAGGTTGCAGAGGCTAATGGCCAACGAAACTAATGTAAAGCGAACTCCCATGTAGACGCCGTAGAAGATCACACAAATTCCTACCAAGTTTATAAACTCCATTGCGAGAACTTGTGCGGTAAAGATGTCGGAGTGGCTTGATTCTTTCTGTTTTTTGATGAACAAGTAAAGAGCGGAAAGAAAAACAGGAAAGCAAAGCAGATAGATGGCGAGCCAGGCGGCGAACATGGGAATGTCGGATGCAGACGTACAGAAGCCATAATTTGGTCCAGTTCCATTCTGGGATGAGTTTGTCCCGTTTTCTTCATTCGACGCCATCTAAACCATAAGCATATCATTACCCATAACCCTAACACATGAGGGACAAGTTTAACAGAAAAAGACACAAAGAAAAGGAACACAAAATAATGGTAACAACAGATTTTTTACAGTAGATTTCTAAACACAGCAATAGAAAATAATTATGAGGATTGCACTCAACACAAAACAAATCAAAGTATTTATGTTCAGTCCAAATCAAATGAGCAGTTCTCTGACCAAACCGTTTGGAATTAAAAACACGAATCTCCTAAAGTGTACACGTCAAATCCATACCTGGGTTTGCTGGAAGCGCAATGAGGAATGATTTTCTTTGCTTTGACAAGAGCTGGTTGTATCTGGTTTTGCATGTTTCGTATACAATAATCAGCAACATTTTCATAAGACAAATGTTTCTGCCTCTCCTCTTTCGTCACGCACATTTAGCGTCAACTGCCATTTATCATACTTATGTAGTGTGGACATTTGCAGGTGGAATGATCCATAAATTATGCATAAAAGGTGGATGGGGCAACTTTCCTGAGGTAATCTGCCACTCCTTACTCTGTTCCCCTGTATGCTATTAAACAATAAGATTTTACTTCTCGAAAACCTGAGTTAAATGTTGTGAACAAATCCTACTCCACTCCACGCAGTCTTTATCTTATTAGAAAAATCTATTGCATACTTGTGAGCAAGAGTATGCAAGAGTAAGTCCTGGAGTCACTGCAGATAAGTGAGGAGGGTCTGTCTGAAAACGTAGATCTGACGTAGACAAACACAAACATGAATGGAAAACTAGTGATTGAACAAAACTAATTCAGGTACTTTAATTCTACAGCAATAACACAAACTTTGATATTAACATACTTGCAAAACAAATAGGCCATCTAGAAAAAAACTATAAAGCAGTGTGCTATAGCTGTGACAGTGAGTTCTTGCTGCTGTGATCACCTTTAGCTCCTTGAAACCTTTAGCTCCTTGACACTTGAATGGTTAAAGTCTGCATCGGGATGAGAGTATGCAGCTCCCTAAGCCTGACTTTGGATTTTAACCAAGCCTTACTGAACTGTTTGCATTCTAGTTGTGATTAGCAGCGCCGTAGTGGCCTATATCACTCAGACCTCTGACTGTGAAAAACTCAACTCTCTAAAAGCTCTTATCTAGTTTTTCCTTGCCCTATGCAGACGGAGCAATGGCAGAACCAAACTACTCGGAATCTTGAACCAAAGCACGTTTAGGGCCAAAAAACATTTGGCCATACCGGCGAAAGACATTGCATAGAACAAAATGCCGTTCACATTATCCAAGAACTGAACTCCCAAAATCAATGCCATGGTGTTCAGGGCTGCCCGTTTGGTGTGGGTACTCGTCTTCCCGTCCCCTGGCCCTGGCCGACCCAAAACCCAGAGCGTGACTATGGTACAAATTGACACTATGACCAAGGAATTCAGTGACAACAGTAGGCACAAAATCGTATGGTACACAGCAAGACTTTCTCTTTGGATCAGAGAGCAGAGTCCGATGCTAAACAGCCAAGCAAAACCAAGGCAAGTGTTGCGGATGATGACTCCTCTACTTTCCTTCAAGCGCAGGTACGCGATTGGGTGTACCACGGCCAGGTAGCGGTCCACACAGGTGTACACATGGAAAAACCTCTGTCCTGTGTAAGAAAGGATGGACATGGTGCGTCCAAGAAAAATCCCTGTGTTATAGATCCCTGTATTCACTCCATGGTAAAAAAGACATAGCCCGACTATGTTGAGCTCCTCCATTATCATCATGTGTAGAATGATGACGTCAGAGTGGCTGAGGCATGTTTCTTTCCTCCATTTTTGGTAAAGTACGTACAGGACGGACAAGTAGATAAAGAAGGAAATCAGGTATACCACTATTAAGGGCGTAACCATTGGCACAAACAGAGGAGACGTGCAAATTCCAAGCGATTGAATGTGGGAAGAGTTGGTGGAGTTTTCTGCATTCGATGCCATCTGAAAATCAAGAAAAGACTGAAAAGGGTAAGGGTGTGGATAAAGGATTAACGCTGATTTATGATGTACATGCCAAGTAAATGTACCTCATCGTGAATTTCTCAACATTGGTTTTCCCCCTGTTATTGAATAAATAGATACTGACGAGACCAGGGTAGCTTTGGATAAGTCAAGTTTAAGACGACTGAAACGTCCTTATACTAGCATGGATGAAGGCTTAAACAACTCCAACTGTTTTTTTGGATCATTATTGCTCATAAAGTCAATATATGATGCTATAATAATAGAAAACAAAAGTCACTCATCTTAGATAAACATACCTTGTTTGTGTTCCGAGTGCAGTGAAGTCAGTTTGTCTTGGGCTGATCTTGTTATATCAGCATTGGATCATGGATAATACAGAGTTTGCATAGGGGATATTCAGCCTCTCCTTCTGTTTTGTTTATAGAAATAGACCATGACAAGGTGCCATATATGATGAATATAGTTAACCTAGTTTGTTATCAACACTGCTGAAATGTTTCTCAAGGATAAAAGGTTTGCAAAAGAACAAAATTCTCAAAGATTCAGACAAAGTTGAGTAGGAGTGTTCTACCTGGAACTTGTCTGCAGTAAACTAAATGAAAGCTAAGGATCAAAGGTCTTTAGGCTTTTCCTGATTCAGATGGATGTGGTTTGGTCCTGGTCTAGTCCTTGAATTGCTCCCCAAGATATGCTCACACTGGTGGAAAACTTGGAGCTGCAGCTGTATACTTCTGTCTTGTCATCTGATTTGGACAATTAGTTGATTTAACTGACCTTATGTGAAAAATGGAATAGAAAACTCATTGTCTTGGATAAGCTCAGTGGCAAGGGAAGAACTGTGTAAAGCCACTGCTTTTCCTTGTTGAGAAGAGCAAGTTGAGATGTCTCTGGCATTTGTTTTGGATGTCTCTTGGTGTTACGGGCATGTCCCACCAGGAGGAGTCAAGGAATGCCCGGGATTCCCCCTTAAGAGCTGGAGGAAGTGTGTGTGGATAGGTAAATGTGGGCATATCTGCTTAGACTGCTGTCCACTTAGCAATTGATAATACAAGACAAAAGGATGGAGCATTTACTTTATTTCCCATGCCCGTAAATGCCATCTAAAAAATTATCTTTTAAAGATGACACTTTACTAAATTGGAAATTAATAATCTACAGTCAGGTTACGAGGGAAGTTTATTAAACAAGTTCTAATAAATTGACAAAACATAATACGTATTGTGAATATCAACAAAGAAAAAATGTCGGAGAGATAATCCTGTACTTTTTGCAGGTGACATACAAACAAGCCAGGAGCACAAGGAATCAAAGCAAAGGGTCGCACAGACAGTAACAATGAGACAGACTCAGAGAAGAAGTCGGTTTGACTCTTTGGTGCACTTCGGTTTGTTACACATTTAACCTATTCTTCCCCAGGCACTAGGGCGACCTACCAGGAGCAGGATCAAACCTATGAACTTCTTGAATTATATGGTATGCATTTCAATGTATTGATTAAAGGAGCTATACCCGTTTCTGCAAGGTTTGAATGTTTAGCACCGCCCCTCAACTCGCTCACATGCTTCTCATTTCCCCTTCGCTCTCATCCCACGGAGCCATCTAGTTTGAAGCCGTACAACAATCGTCCGAATGTAGTCCGAGGCGGTCCCGCTCCCGCAGGTCTCTCCCATGGACTGTTAGTCTCTCCAGAGGATGCGATTTAAGCTAGCTATGTTCACCCGGGCTTGATAATTTTTCGTTCGGGCTGTTTTGCTGTGTATGCAGTTACAGCCAGAGCAGGTACTGTATATACTGTAGGCCCTTTCTGCCTCCATTCTGCACTTGTTTAGCAGCGCTGTAGAGGCTAGAGGACGCAGCCTCGTTCTGTGATTGGAGGAGAGCGAGCGTCACGCTACGTCTCTACTCTTTAGACGGCCTGAATTCATATCCACAAGCTGAATCAATGAGCTCAAGTTTTCAATTAAATTACGGATTATAATACAACTTGTATGTAGTAATAAGCATTTTTATGAACTCATTCAAAATAAATCAGGTATATAGCTTCTTTAATTATTTAACTTTGTTGTTGTTGATGTTTTTTTGTCCTGTGCAGAAAGAGCAAGGGGCTGACCAAATTGTTGGGCAGCTCTAACCAAAATGAGAGACCAAACAATAAACACAAATCAGCTAGCATTGTCACTTCTGTCCAGACATAGAACATAATCAGGTTTACACAACCCAAAACCTGAGCTGCCAAAGTGAATTTTATAATGTTTAAAGCCAATCGTTTTGAGTTGTTGGTGGACTTCCTGTCCCCACCCCCTTCCCCTAGGCCTGGTTGGGTCAGACTCCGAAAAACAGATGCTGTACAAAACAAGACTATCAAGAAGGAGCTCAGTATCAACAGCAAACTACAGATGTGGTTGTACATAATTATACTTGTGTGTTCATACACCAAAGTACTGTGTCCAACGTTAAACAGCCAGGTTAAACCAATGCAGGTGTTTCTGATCTTGACCCCGCTCCTTTCCTTCGAACGCAGGTAAGTAATTGGATGGACCACGGCCAGGTAACGTTCCAAACAGGTGAGAGAGTTGAAGAACATCTGTCCAAACCGGGGGAATATTGCCAAAATGATTCCCACAGAACACACTGCATCATTGACCTTTCTGTACACGCTGTAGAAAATCAGGCTCACTCCAAGCACTTTAAACATTTCCATCACGATCATGTTTAAAGTAAATACATCGGAATGACTCAGCAGAACTGATTTGTTAAACTTTTTGTAGAGTAGGTAGAGAGTGCTCAGGAAAATGGGTAAGCAAAGCATATAGACCACAAACAAGGCACTGTGCAGCGGCAAACTATAGGGAGATCCACAGAACTCAATATGATGTTGAAATAGCGACGAATTGGTGTCGTTTCTGGCGACATCAAGCGACATCTGTCAAATAATCACAAATGCAAATGTTCAAATTTAATACATACGTTTACAGAATAAGCTAGAACAAGTCAAATCAAACCTCCAGTGTGGTAGCTCGGACGGTCTCTGTGATCGCTCCTGATCAAAGCAGCCAAAGGGACAAATCTTCGGTTTACAATTTAAGTGACATTTCAATACTGTATCCAGACTTTGCGGCGCAGACAGCGGTGGTGTTTATCTGGCCTGAGCCGAGCATGTTGTGATCAGACTTTGCATGTTTCATAAAACTTATCAGGCCAAATGATGCATAATTGTTTTTTGTTTTGCACCATTAGCAGTTGTTTGATTTGTTGAAATAGACAGTGAAAGTGTCACAAAGAAACCTATTTAAATGAGTTGAAAGCAGCATAAACAAATGAAAGCCTACCAATAATAATAACACTACTATTATATTGTTTTTGGTTTTTTTATTCTTTTTAGCCTGCGCAAACAACTAGGGTGTTTCATGGGCTTGAGGCGAGCTTGTTGTGATGAGCCTTTGCATATTTCAGATGAGGACAATGTCCCTTCTTTTTTGTTTTACATGTAGCTTGTTAGATTGGTTGAACCTGGCCACTAATGACCCTGAAGAAAACCTTTCAAAAATGTTGAAAGCAGCCTAAAGAAGAAAACAGTGCAGGACCTAAAACAGAGCCCTGTGGCACTCACAAGGCATGGTAGTTTGTCTTTATATAGTATCTAAGACACCAGTGGCTCATTATACTTTTGAAATCTCAATATTGATCAAATGACACATCACAGTATTTAATCCACCATAATTGTTGTTCAGATCATAATAATAATATATATAAAAGATTAAATAAGCGATCAAAAGCTTTTTTCCCTTGTATCATAGATTCAGAAAAGAAAAACTTGTAAACAGAAGGTAAAAACAGATATGTGGTCAGTGGGGAGCAATGGCGTCTTTTTTTGCAGGAGAATATAGACACAGATACCTGGTCAAAACCCTTTATTTTTGAGAATTGTATTGTATGTAAACATTTTCAGAAATGCTCATGAATTAGATTAGATTCTATTCACACTTTTCAAGTTAGTAAATTATGATATCTAAAAATTCTACAAATCAAAAGTCTGTCTCTCTATTTTTAAAGGCATACTGGACTTTCTTGACTTTTTTTTTGGTGCCACCTCCCGCTGCAAATGCGATGGAACGTTCAAATCTTGCTTTTTTGCCAAATTAAAATCTGAAATACAGCAACTATTGGCACAGTCAAATCTGTCTGTACAGAGCAGAGCGATGGAATGAAATCGCTGGTTTTTGCTCTGATCTCTTGCCAACTGGACTTGCGTTGCCTCAGACATTTCTCTGCGAGGGATTTTGTTTTTGCCTTGTTCCTCTCGCACCCAAAGTTCATCGTCTTCTGTTTTGTCGGTAGCGTTTGGTGGATTTTTGCTGAACAGGCTGTCGTCCATGTTGTGATGCCCAGAGCAGGTATGGAGTCGAGGATTGGGGTTGGCGCTGTGACGGTTGCGACTTCGTAAAGAGCTGAAGACCATGGTGCAGCCAGAAACTGTGCAACGGTGTTTGATTTTCAGGTGCACCGCATTGTAGTGGATCTTTAGGGTTCCTGCAAAATGAGCAAGAATACTGTGTGAAGTATCAAGGATAAACCATCCTATCAGTCTGTTACATTTTCTTTGAATTTTCCAAATTGGAAAATGACCAACTGCAAACACAGACATGCGGTTGCAAATACAATGGACCCTTGTTTATCCCAGGGGTTATGTTTTTAAAATAGCCCAAAATAAGCCCCTTTTTGACAGAAGCCTGGTTGAAGTCTGGTCTGTTAAATTCCTAACCTTTGTCGTAGAAGCTCTTCCCGCAGACTCCGCAGCTGACACGGCCTTTACGACTCAAAAAAGAAGCTCCCGAGTCGGACATGGACAGGACAGAGCCAGCCGGGGCCAGTGGTGGACAGAAGAACGTGGAAGAAAGCGACGGCGTTGAGTTCAAAGATGATCTTGTTGAAGATGAGAAACTGAACGGGCAAACCGGTGACTTAGGGGGGAACGAGAGATCCTGTTTGGTGTCAGGGCTGAATTCAGGGATGAATTTGTCCGGGTCCGGTTTGACATTTGGCTTTAATGAAGTGGGATCAGGTGCACAATCCTGTAGAGAAGAAGTGTCGGAACAAGTGTAAGATTGAATCTGCTGTAAAGAAAATCTGAAATCTATTACAATCCTTACTCAAGCTAAAACTATTGACCCATTGTCATCCCTGTACTATTCTGTAACAATGAGATTTCTCCACTGTGGGACGAATAGAAGATCTCTTATCACATCAAATTAATATTATTTTTGTTTTGGCATGCATTTAACCAGAAGCCTGTTTATGTGGCATGATATTTTGTTTATTTATGCAAACAGATTTTTGTATTCCATGTGTATAGTCCGACACAGTATGACCTCTGATCTTAAAAGAGAGGGGTTTTGATGATGTGATGTCACTTGTATTTGATTCAACAAGAAGCAGAGGAGTCAAGTCGCACCTTATGCAGAGTGGTGGGATAAGAGCTGAGACTTTTCACAGAACTGTCTCCTGAGTGAAGAGACATGAGCTCCACGATGGGACGGGTTTCACCAAAACGCAGGAACTGTTTGAGAATGAGTCGCTCCTCGAGTGGACTCGCCATCAGCCAGTGGTCAAGAGTGCGCCCCCTAGAGTCCTGCCGGAGAAAAGTTACATTACATCTATGACCAATCGTGTTTGTTGATTTTAGCTAAAAAAAACGACAACTTGGTGCTGTGTTTTTCATTAAGACACTTTGCGTATTGTATGTATTCAATGGAAGGGTATTGGAATCAAAAACAGAAATGGAGATCCATGCTAATATTTGGAGTATGTGGCATAATAATTGCACATAGAGATGTATTTTCAAACAAATGTCTTCAAATTACCTCTGTATTTCTGCAGTCAAATTGCAATACAAGACAATACAATACAATTTATTCTTGTATAGCCCTAAATCACAACAGCAGCCATCTCAGAGGATTTAACAAAACCATTGAAATCACCAACACAGATCAGAGAATCAACAGTTAAGACACAAAAAAGAATATCTTGTTTGTGTCTTCACTGTTTTAACTGTAATACTTGTAATTCCCACTTCAACCAGTAGATGGGGATGTTACCCTGATTTGGGTTTGCAAACTGCTGCTGAGACCCATGTAGTGAACACATATTTTCCACACAGAGACATTCATTTAATTTAATCAATGAATAATCAAACTATGAATACTAAAAATACTAAAGATCAAGGGCCAACATGTGCTTAGATTTTAATCTGGGGTATTTCACTTTGGATTTAACCTACGTATTGAATCTATGTAAAAAAAATCCATCTCTCAAAGCATTTTGGTTTTCACAAGCATGTATCTGATCCGTCTCTGCCATAATTAGATTGGGTTTTCAGACAAATATTAGAGTAAATCTTATTCACAATGCAAAGTCATCAAGTAAGTTTACAATTGTTCAGCACTTTGCAAAAAATGTTCTATACTGTACTGTAATAATCATAATAATAATGCATCGGTTTATATAGCGCTTTTTTGGACACTTAAATATGCGTCACATGTCATTATTCATTCACTCCATACACGGTGGTGATAAACTACTACTGTAGCCACAGCTGCCCTGGGGCACACTGACAGAAGCGAGGCCACCAGTATGTGCCATCGGCCCCTCCCACCACCACCAACCATTCACACACACACCAGACTCATTCTAGGCAATGGGGGTGAAGTGTCTTACTACTGTCGCCCTGAACAGACTTGATCTGAGAGTATCATTAACTTACGTTTGAAAAGTTTAAGGTTAAAGCCGGGGTGCCTAACCTTAAAAACACAAAAAAACATAGGGCCAACAACCCAGATTGTAAAACTGTTTCGACAGGATTCGGGATGTTCTGAGCTCCATAATCAGCCATGATGGAGCCGAAGTTGGCTGCATGACACTATGAACGTGACTGATTTATTCACAACAACTTACTATTACAAGACTCAAACAAAAAAACTGGGCATACTTTTTTTTATAGCTGTTATTATACCTGTAACTTGTATCCTCTGACATAATCTCCCAGACACCAGCCCAAAGTGTGCAGGATGTGGCCCACCTGAATAAGTAAACATATTTTATCGTCAAAACAACAATAGATTGCATCCACAGCAAACAACAACAGTTAAAGAGTCTGAATCATTAATCTATAAACAAATCATTCCTCAAACATATCAAAAACAAATGTAGAATCACCTGTTCTGGCGTGAGGACGCTGAAGAGCCGGTCCAGTAGAATCTTGAGTGTGATGGGAACAGCTTGAGCCCCAAAAAGAACCAGGGAGCTGATGTCGAGCACCAGCCCAGGGACCGCCACCTCCACTGGGCCTCTGCCGGACACACACCGGGGGGCCAGCCGCTGCAGCGCTGGGGCCACAGACAGAGCAAGGATGGATGTGAGAGAAGGAACAAATCGCAAAACTGATTTTATGTGACTTGATATTGAATTATTTTTGAAATCTTTTGAAGTGTTAGCGTCACTTTACTGTCACTTTGTCCGATATCCCTCATGCTGCTGCTAACATTGATGTTCACCTACAACTTGCACTAGAATATACCACATTTTATTCATGTTTCTTCATCATGCTCAAGTTGCAGATTTTAGACTTTGTTCCTTATTAAGCTTATTAAAGATCGAGATTTTATACTGCTTCTTCTAGGCTACAGTTATGGTTGTTTTACTAAATTTTATTACAGATTTGTTATTCATTTATCTTGTGTTGTGTGCTCCTCATTCCTACACCTCATTCCTAGTCTGTAACTGGTGATGCAACACTGTAATTTCCCCACTGTGGGACGAATATACATTCTCTTAAATCTGGGGTTAGGATTTTCACTAACAAAATCCACGCATATGTAACATGTAACATTTTTTAAATAGGATGAAGACTGAATTTGGCCTGATTTTCTCACATATAACTTTCACAAGACTCTCTTTGTCTTTTGGCAACTCTTTGTCCTGCATATTTTTGTTGAATCCGTATCAAGACCCAATTCAGATTGGGTAACTGAAGAGATCTCACCGTGGAGGACCCAGCTGTGGCCGCAGAGTTCACAAGAGCGAGACTGGAGAGCAGCAGGTCTGAAGCTGCCGCATGTCTCAACCTGCTGAGTTAAAACCATAATCAGTTAAATGCAATGTTGTGTAATATTACATTCTGTTCAGTGTTATACAAACAACTACAGCAAAACATTAGGCTTTGTAGCTATATTTAATGGCATTAAATAACAGTATCATAAATGTATCTTGTCTTTTACCTCTGTGTTTGCGTCGGCAGTCATCTTCATGTCTCTGGGAATTGAAAAATTTGACATTTAAATTCAGACCTTAAAAAAATCGCATCCTGTGAAGAACTTTTGAAAACGCTTGTATTATAGAGTTTTATAGAGTACATCAAGTTTTTGTCATGTTAAAAGCTGCATTTTCCCTCAAATCAGGTATAAATATATATTATGTTATGGTCATAATATATGATTATTATGACTATAACAAATTACTTTACACTGTGCGTACTGACCTTGTACATTTACAGTAGATATGATAAAACAATGAATACAAATACATTTTAAAAATATATTCTAAAATTAGCTAATTTAAAATGAATAACAACATGGACACACTACAGCACAACTATTTGAATAAAAAGCACTAACCTCAGTATTTGTTGAGTTCCAGCGCCTTCCAGTGCTTCTTCACACTTTTTATTGTTCATATATTTTCATTTGTTTTGAATGTTCTCATCTTCTCCTGTTTAAAGCCATTTCCTCTTTCACTGTCCCCTCATTTATACCATCATCTGCAGATGAGGCTCCTCCCACTTCTGCATAATTCATGACTTTATTTCACTTACTTATATTTCTCACACAAGAGGATGTCACACATATATTTAGTACTAGAAGTATTAGCACAAAAACAGATACATTTTACCAGTTTTGTGCTCGTTCTAGTGGGCATTTATGCAAGTACAGATCATTTGTTAACAACAACCAATTTATAAATTGTTGTGTTTTCACCCATCTATACCATTTAGAGCACCAAATTATTCCAACCAAATAATTGAGGGATAAGAAGAATCTATCTATAACTTTCTAACTCAAAATGACCCTGGATTTGAACATTGTTGGATAAGCTTGTTTCACATTATTAGGAAAAATTCTGACTCTGGGCACTGGCAAGAGACCGTACCTGTGCTCCTCAGAGTCCCAGTAGGACGAGAAATGCTATGATAAAGTCCTTTAAGTAATATATAATAGGCTTAGTTTAGCATAGTTTAGTTAGGTTAGTAATATTTTTTAGTAATTAGTTTATTAGTAGTATAAGTCGTAGTAGTAGTATTCTTGTGACATATGTGAAACTCATCTGTCTCTGTCATAGACTGTATATATCGTCTCCACCGCTCTCACGCTGTCACTGATCTAATCCCACTGCTGTAATTGGGCTTTAGTCTCAAAGGGGGCGCTGTTCCCTGGAGACACGCTGCCCCAGACCTCTTCAAGGACAAACAATTATAAACTTATTTTATTCTGAACAGGTTTGGCAAACTCATGATGTCTAATATGCATAAGCCCATGATTTATGATTTTTTTTTTTTTTTTAGAAAGCACAAGAAAATTGAACTGCAGTATATAATAAAATCAATTATTCCTTGCGCCCATGTAGCAGGTTGCCACACTCTACATATAAAAACTTGACACCTTAGTATAGAAATGTAGTTTTAACAGCATTGCCAGGTTTCGGTGGTGAAGGAAGCTATAATAATTGTCTCACCACAGGAGATGGTCAAATCTATTGGAAGAATACTGCAATACACTTTTGGTAATATTTTGATTTATCTCCAACTACATAAAACTGTATAGTTAAGGACAGAAGAAAGTAAAAACTCAATGTCATTCATAGAGTTAAATAGTTTGTATGTTTGGCCTCTGTCACATCTTTGAATCAGCATTTTCAGACCCAAAAAGTGAAAAAAGAGGACGACCCCCACTCCAATCACACCAATCCAGCCCAGCAGCTTTCAGCCCAAAGCCTCAGTTAGTGACTTTTTCACTTTTCTGTCTGTAAAAGATGAAATATGTGACAATAACTGCATCCCAGTTTCAATCATGTAAGTCAGACATGTCAAACACAGGCCCGTGTGCAAAATCCAGCCCGCAAGATCATTTTTGGTGGCCCCTGATATGATATTCAATTATCATTACACTGGGTAACAAAAAATATTGTTTGAAAATAGTCCAGGGTTTATCCAGCTGAATTAGACTAATTTTGATGCTCTGAGTCCGAAAATGACCTTGGTTTTGCTCAATCAGGTCAGGATTTTTTGCTATAAAAATATTTTTTTAAATCGATTTTGCGTAAAAAACAAATTTCTGCGGATCATCAGCTGAGAAACCCTTGAAGTTTTCCGTTTTCCTTGAGAAATAAAAGTCAACGTATCCAAAGTCATTCAGTTTTTATTTACTCCATCAAATTTGATAAGCAGAATCCATAATAACGTAGATATTCGGACTCAGAACACCAAAATTAGTCTAAATCAGTTGAGAAACCCCCGACCATTTTTTGGTTGTCAACTTGTGTTATCATAGAAACTTGCAGCATTGATGGAAATGGGATATGGCATGTTATACTTCATTTTAAAGCTTATTCTCCCAGGAAGGCATCCATATAATTTAATATGTTCTAAAATGCTAGCTATCATGCGATCAGAAGTTCTAGTTATTTCATTTGTTGGGTTTTTTCAGCCTTCCAATGCATCACTTCTTGGTTGAATACATGCAAACCTATGAGAAAAGAATGTCCAAACTCATGGCAAAATACAGTTGATATGTCAAAAGATAAAAATATTTAGAAATAAATAAATCAAATAAAAACTTTTGTTCCACTTTAATACTCCTGGCCCCAACCAGCTCTTATGTTTTTAAATTTTGCCCCCGACCAAAATGAGTTTGACACCTCTGATGTAAATGAACCACATGCATTCCCCATTATTTACTTCTTCTGAGCGTATATACCACAGTCTATGGTAGATACAAGTATATATTTATAAAAATGAAAGTAAAGTGTTCCAAACTCAGACAAATGTAAAAGTGGAGCTGCCACACCGCACGCCGCAGCGAGTGATTTTCTAATGAACCCACATCAAACCGGGATCCAGGTCTGATCCAAGTCTCCGTGGACCGGGACGATCCAAGAATCCGCCTCTCCGCAAAGAAAGACACAAATGCAGCAGCGTTTTGAGGCCATTTCTGCCTCCGGGATAAAACCTGAGGCACTGTCAGGGAAAAGTTTCACAACGTCCTAATCACGACGACTCACTGATGCCGCTGACAACACAATGAAGAGATCTAATGTTTTTAATATAGCCTTCTTTATATTCCCAATGCTGACTGGGTAAAAGTTTAATCATTTATTGTAGCATTTTAGTTATTTTAGTCAAGCAACATGATCACAAACCATCTTCACTGCAAAGTCAAAGAGAAAGTTTGAAAAAATACGTAACTTATGCAAAATCGTTTGTTGGGTATTCTTGGACTGATTTTCTGAAAACATTTGCCAATCGAAAAAAAAAAAAAGGCAAATTGCGAGATCAAACTTGTGCATTATTATGGAAAGTTTAACATCAGCCTGAAAATGCATCATATACCAAATGTTTCATATTCCTTTTATTTCTTCTTCAAATCTCCCTTTAGTGGCCTTGGTGTCATGTTGTCATTGGGCGTGAAGCTTAGAGCGTAAATGCAGCTGACTCAGAGGGTCTTTGTACCGAGGTTGTACCGAAGATTAGACTAAACTCAGTCTTAAACGCTGCTCCTCTTTAGAAAATCACAAGGTTTTATCCAGAGGAAGGGGACAGACGAGAGCGTGAACATCACTAATCTTCAGACAACAAAAGAGGCAAGTGGCAGAAGTCACGGCGCGTGTTCAGTGAATGTTAATGGGTCCGGAAAATGAACCGAGCACGTTTTTAATGGTCTTCACATGTAAAATAATCTCAATGTCTGGAATGTACTGTAATGGTCATCAAGCTCTTTAATTGGAGGAGGGTAGACTGGAGTTGATGGAGTTAACTGCAGTCCAAATAAACTAACAAAAAAACAAAACCACTCAACAATAACTAATGAAATACATGTAACTAGTCACTAGGTCTCTAAGCAGTTTGGTTCTTTCACAAGTTTTTACATGCAGGCCCCTGCCACATCTTTAGATCAACTTTTACCATTAAACTGACAATCGGCTGTCAGTTTACCCTTGTGCTACCCTCAGGGCGAAATGGCCCCCACAGTGATTAAGTTAAATCATCAAAATTCAGCAAGGCATTTTGTTATTTAGTGTAATTTTTAATCACTGTGGCGGGTCAATTTGATCCAAGGATAGTACAAGGGAAATAAAAGATTCAATGTTTTCAAATGGGATAAAGGTATTATGCTGTTTGTTCAAATATTACTTTATTTTTAAGGCATTTGACTCATTCTTCCAATACCCCTGGAGTCTCTGTCAAGAGGGGCTCAGAGAACCTCCAGATGTCCACAGATCGAGTCCTGGACTAGATCTGGACTAGATCTGTAGACTTTATTCCCAGATACTCTAGCAACAGGTGCCCTGCGAATAAAATAATAATAATAATAATAATGCATCGGTTTTATATAGTGCTTTTTTGGACACTCAAAGACGCTTCACATGTCATCAGTCATTCACTCCATACACGGTGGAGATAAAATACTACTGTAGCCACAGCTGCCTTGGGGCACACTGACAGAAGAGGCAACCAGTATGCGCCATCGGCCCCTCTGACCACCACCAACCATTCACACACACACCAGACTCATTCTAGGCAATGTGGGTGATGTGTCTTGCCGAAGGACACAACGGCAGTTTGGCACTTTACAGCCGCAGCCGCCCCACTGTGGCTGGTGTTCCCAGAGGTTAAGTGTCTTGACAAGGACACAACAACAGCAGACATCAGTGGGAGTCAGTGGAGAGAGTCTTGTGGTGGGCTCGAACCCACGACCTTCTGGCTCAAAGACTCAGCTCTACCAACTGAGCTACTGTCGGTAAAAGTGAAGGTACCATTCTGCATCATCCGCTCCTTTGACGAGCAGCAGTTTAATGCAGATGAAACATCTGA